ACACACATAAAATGACAATAGCAGTCTCAATAGACAATTAAATAAAGAGGAAGTGATACATATACAATGGAATATTACTCGGCCATAAAAAAGAGTGATATCTTACCATGTGTGACAACATGGATGGATGGACCTAGAGGGTATTATGCTAAGTGAAATAGGTCAGACAGAGAAAGACAAATACTGTATGATTTCACAGTATTGTGGAATCTAAAGACCAATATAAATGAATAAAAATAGAAACAGACTCATAGATACAGGGACCAAACTGATGGTTACCAGATGGGAGGAGCTTGGGGGGACTGGGTGAAAAAGGTGAAAGGATTAAGAAGTACGAATTGGTAGTTACAAAATAGTCACAAGGATGTATAGTACAGCATAGGGAATATAGTCAATGATATTGTAATAACTATGTATAGTGCTAGGTGGGTACTAGACTTATTGGAGTAATCACTTTGTAAATTACATAAATGTCTAACTACTATGCTGTATACCTGAAACTAGTATAAAATAATATTACATGTCAACTGTAATTGGAAAAAAAATGACAATAGCTGAAGGGCAGGTACTTTGTTGGAACAAACCAATGAAGAAATCTAGCCGGAATCCTGCCATCAATAGGACAATGACATGCAGGCCAAGCAGGGACAATTCACTTTGCTTCTTGAAACTGTCCTGTGCATCTCTTCATTTCAGTGTCTTTTGAAGAAATATCTTTTGAGGTCTCAGTAGTTTGAGTGTAGGCTTTTATTGTTCTTCTAAGCTTTGTCTAAGTTCATAAACGGTATATGAAGTCGCATCAATCTGTATTTTATGTGAATTATGAGTAAAGATGGAAAAAGTGGCCATCTACAAGTATGGTAAAGACAGTTCACAAGGAATAGAATCCTATCATTGAGACATTCAATTCAAAAAAGCTAATTTAATATATGATTCAGTAAGGGAACATTCTCATGCAATTGATTATTCTAAAATCACTAGCAGAGTGGAATTACTTACCTATTATCGTATGACTCTTGTTCTTTAAGGTATTGTTGCATCAATTCTTCCTGTTTCTTCTTATCGTATGATATTTTCTGTTCTGCCATCCATACCTAAATTAGTGGTGTAAAAATTTTAATTAAGTAGGAAGTTTTCTTTTCTTTCTTTTTTAAATTTTATTTTATTTTTTCATATTATTAGTTTCAGGTGTACAAAACAATGCAATAGTTATTCTTTTCACCCCTCACAAAGTGACAACCCCTCTCCCCCTGCTTTTCTTTTCTAATAAATATAAAATGCTATTGTATATAGTTTACAACATAATCTATTTTGCTCATAGTGACATCATAAAATAAAGCTGAAAAGTCTGATTTGTGCCTTGATACAAGTTCTTAACTCTAACCATTCAAAACAGCTAAACTCTCAAGCCAGAATGTCAAACTTGAGAACCACTCTGAGTACCGCCAGCACAACAGCTTCTTGCATGCAGCCCCTCTGCTATTTCAGAGAGGAGAAAGACCACCTCTCTACATGGACTCTGTCGACTAGAAAACACACAGGGCACAACCAGTAGGGTTGACATGGATGCCGATGGATGTCACTGACACCCCGAGAGAGGAGAAATGGAGATGAAAGAGGGAAAAAGGAAAGGAAATGAAAGATAGTTGTAGAAAAAAAGGGAAGAGACGAGAGAAAAGAGAGATAAGAAAGAGGTGCCTCAGGCTTCTCAAGGACACCAACATAGCACACTGACTGTGTCCCAAGTGAAATTCTCAAAATCATACAAGTGGTGAAGGTAAAAAGCCCAAAGAACTTATGCAGGATATTTAATCAAGTTATTTCCAGGTTTAAAAGGTATCAATACCTTCCTACCACCTTTAAAATAAAGGACAAAGTGTGTGACAATCATTCAAAATAAACAGTAATTCAAAACGCTCTCTCCAAACATGCTAAGTCTTAAGAAGGTAAATTCGAGGATAAATACTTACATTGATAAAATTATAATTATTAATTGTGGGTGGGGGCAGATAAGTAGGGGGAGAAGGATGTGGGGCAAGACTGCCATTATTCAATTTTAGAAGCAAAAAGGGGTAGTTATTAACATATTAATAACATTCTAATGAATATTAATCTCAGAATCTGCTAACAGAAAATCATACTAACTCTTCTATATGTTTAAGCTATTCGTAATAAAAAGATATGAATTGTATAAATAAATAATAACACTAAAGTTTGATATTTGGATAAAAGATATGTACAAGAAATAGAACAAGACAATGATTAACTTTAGGGAGCAGGAAGGAAGGCTGGTATAATGGAATGCTTTACAGCAACTTTCGGTTTTAAAAAGTTATTTATTTTTTAAAACTAAGTAACTATATTCACAGGTAGCCAATGTCATCCATTTCTTATATATCTATATCTTTCCAAAGATGTTCTACTGCACATATGCTAAAAGAATATATATATAACAAACATACACATATTTTCTTTTCATAAATGGTAACACACAGACACACACAAACACACACACAGTATGTATAAAATAAAATTCTGTACCATGGAAATCATTTCCGGCTCAGTAAACAAAAAGCTTTCTTATATATTTAGGGGAAGGGAGCTGAATATTATTCTGTTGTGGGGCTATACCATCACAATTCTGCCACGACAAATAACCCCGTACACAAGAAAGGTCATACATGTTACGCAGGGTTTTGAAGAGGATCAAAATTTTGCCAAGGAAAAAACAGGGTAAGATATTACTGGCAGAGGGAGCAACTAGGAGGACAAAGGCCCACAGGTATAAAATAAGAATTAAGTAGTTTGATATTACTGGAGTATAAAATCTGATGTGGAACAATGGTAGTAGGGGGTAAAGAAGGAAGTATAAACTGGAGCCAGATTACTTGGACTTAATCCTATAGTATTTTAATAAGGAGCGGGAAGAGATCAGATTTGTGCTCTAAAAAGATTACTCTGTGGAAACAACCCAAATATTCACCAACTGATGAAGAGACAAATAAAATATGCTATATCCACACAATGGAATCATTCAGCAATAAAAGGAATGCAATAGCGATACATTCTAAAACATGGATAAACTTTGAAAACATTATGCTAAGCAAAAGAAGCCAGTCACAGAAGACCACGTATTTCATGATTTACATGAAATGTCCAGAATAGGCAAATCCACAGAAACAGAAAGCAGGTTAGTGGTTGCCTAGGGCTGGAAAAGAGGGAGTCTTAAGGACGAAAGGGGTGGTACTACTAACAGATATGAGTTATTTTCGCGGGGGAGGGCGACGAGGGGGTTATAAAAATATTTTAAAATTGTGATGACTGCACAAATTCATGAATATACTAAAAACCACTGAATTGTGTGTTTTAAATGGGTGGTTGTATAACATGTAAATTATATTTCAGTAAAGCTGCTAAATTAAAAAAAAAGCTATTTTGATTGCTATGTAGTGAATGCATTTGAGAAGAGTCAAGGCTGGAGGCATAGAAACCAGTTAGGAAATATAACAGTCTAGGTGAAAGATGATGAGTGTCTAAGCTAAGATACAGGCAGCAGTGACAAAGAGGAGAGAAGGATTCAAGAGACATTTGGGAGGTAAGATTAATAGAATTTATTAGCTGACTAGATAAAGGGGTGGTGGGAAAGGGACGAATCTTGAATTTCTGCCTTGAGTGACTGCATCAAGGATCATGTTACTATCTATGTTTCCTACTCATATGAGATAGGAAGTTTAAAAGGCACGGATTTCAGATGAAAGATAAGTTCCACTTCGGATATGATGCTTTGAGATGCCTGTAGGTAATCAAGATGAATCTGTCTAGTATATAGTTGTCTTGAGGTGCCTGGGGCTAGGGGGAGAGATCTAGGGGGCTGTAGATTTAAAAGTCATGAGTTAAGGGGGGGTAGTTAAAACTATGAAATTGGATGTGATTGCTCAGGAAAGCACATAGAGAACAAGGATGAAACTCTGGGTAACACCTGTATTTTAGGAGCAGGCTAAGAATAAGTATGTGTGTAGCGGCAATTAACATCTTATTGAGGAATAAGTATGTACGTAGGAGCAGTTAAGATTTTATCGAGCATCCCTCTATGTGGTGGGCAGAGCCTAGGTGGTACTTTGTTTCAAAGCCTTTATCTACACCATTTTATTTAATCCTCATAACAATTGCACAAGTCAAGGCAACTGATACTGATCATTCGTAACTTGTAGTTAACTTAGTCATAGGTTAGGAAACTGGGATCAAGGATATTAAATATTCTGTGCAAGGTCTGAAGGCTACAAGTGACTGTGCTGGAATATGTCACTGATTACTTAAAAAGTCAAACTTCAAGGAGGTCATCAGACAGACGCTACATTATCGGGTGGTATAAAATGAGGAAAATGTGTGTGTGTGTGTGTGTGTGTGTGTGTGTGTGTATTTTCCTTTTAAGATCTTTCTTAACTTAAATAAATAGGGAGTTTTCTTTCTACAGAATAGCAGCGCTCAGGAGCAGTGACCCCTGGGATCCCACACAAGACAAAACCAGAACGTGCCGAGGGAACTCGTGAGGAACCCTATTACCAGTCTTTTCGTATCTTACGGATTTACATTCTTGCTGACAAAACCGACAGAGCAGACGGGGCCGCTGGTCTCCGGGCTGACGTAGAATAAACGTCGAGGGCCAGTGCTGTCAGCGAGTTTCTCAGCAGGGAAGACGGGGCGAGAACACCCGGGCTTTGGGCCTGGAGGAGAGGCGACTCTCCTCGGGATCCTACAGACACCACCATTCTCACTTCCAGCAGCCCCGGGGAACCCTGGCGCCAAGGGCCAGCATCCTCCCCGGCTCCCCTTACTCACTTTTTTGATATTGGATTTGGAGGCGGGATGAAAGTCCTTCTTGCACATGAAATTGGCGAAGGATTTCCCCATCTTGGAGGCTGAGCTCCAGAAGGTAGCCGCTAGCTCTGATCAACGTAAACAAACTCTTGCCGCCTAACCGGAACTGCGTCTCTCGTGGCAGAGGGGACTTCCGGGGTCAAAGGTGACAGCTTCCGGCTACTAACGCCCTTGCCTGCCACTACTTCGCCCCTTTTCCTTTTCACTTTGCGTAGGTCTGAAGCCAGGTGAGGGGCGTGCACAGGAGAGGGGCGTGCGTAGTTGAGGTAGAAAGTAGGAAGACTGGGAGTGTCGCGCGGTGGGAGCGGCGCCGGGTGACAGTGGCGCGCGGGCTGCAGGTTGAACGCCCGACTGGTGTAGCTCATCCACTGGCCCTGGGCGGTGGATCTTGTGCAAATGTGTTTGAAGTTCGAGCCCTTTATTCTGTGAACTCTGGCTCGAGTTACGTAAACTTTTCTGTACGGGTTTTCCCGTCTGTGTTATGAAAATAGTAATGCTCGGCCTGTGTAGCACGTTTGTGAGGCTGTTTCTGAAAGCAGTTTGTGAACTAAAGCAGATAAAATAGAATGTCAGCTCTGCAAGAGCCAGGACTGTTTTGTTACCAGCTGTACCGTGCCTGGAGCAGAAAGATGTTCAATAAACATTTGTTGAGTGATAAATATACACTAGGCGTTAGGCCTCCCCTTCGAAATGGGCTCGGTGTCTTGTTTCCTTAGCTTCCCCTACCTCCCAGGTTATACAGCTCAGATCACCTAGTGCAGCTTGATGGCTCTTGACACTCCAGGGTTTTGCGTGGACGTGGCTGCTACTGCTATAGGGTCCCCACCAACCAAATCCTCGTGTGTTTTTGTATGTGTGTGTGTGTGCGCGCGCGCGCGATGCCTTTTGTGAGAAATTTACTCGTTTGCCAAATGATAACAATAACAGCTTTCACTTGAGTGTCTTCTATGTTCTATGGACTATGCAAAACACTACACATTGTCTTACTAAATTCTCATGACAGCTCTAGGAGATATTTGCCAGTGAGGCAGGGGTCTAGAGACAGGTTAAATAGTCTGCCACGGTTATGCAGTGGTGGAACTGACTTTGAAACACAAACAGAAGGCGACTCAGGAAATAAAGGTGGAAATACATATGAAAAAACCAGAAGCAATGCAGATCTCTCTCATTCCATCACTGAGGAAAACAGAAAAACTTTTAGGAGCTTCAGTCTGAAGTTTCTTATTTGAATCATTTTGTTTTCTTTTTAATAAAATATTTATTAGATTTAAATATTGTTTTTAAGATGCCTACATAAAGCCATTCTAAGTTTGAGCATTACAAAATAAAGGAAACCAACGTTCATTCTGGAAGCAAAATGAAAAGTATGAGACACTTAAGTGTTCTACTAAAATTTAGAATTTAAGATTTTTCTGAATTACAAATAAAGACATAATGTTTATATTCTACAATCAGGACTTACAAGTTATGTACGTGGACTTCCTCCTAGAAATATCAACGACTTGAAATTTTATTGACAGTTTTTTCATATTTGTCTGATTCAGTAAGTCTGTTTCAAAATGTCAGTCTCGCCAGTATTATAATCTGAGTGTATCCTTCAGCTCTAAGGAGACCCCTTCCTTCTTCCTTTGAGGAAAGACTGGGTACATAATACTGGGACTTTTTTAATAAGTTCCAGTGATGAGAATACAAAGATTAATAAGACATACTCTCAGCCCTCAAGGATCTCACAGTTGAGTAAGGAGACTATATTTATAAATATAGTAAAATAATGGCCTTTACAACAGTAGGACTAGGTATAGGGATTCCCAAATATGGAAATAGTCAAAGGCGACTCAGGGAAGACTTCAAGAGAAAAAACGATCTTAGAGGGTAAATTTGACCTATAGACTAGAATGTACTTGTCATTACCATTTTCTTATTAATTCTTGTAGTGCAAGATCCATTTCTAAGTCATTTTCTTACTGATTTTTTTACTACAGTATATGAAGTTTAAAACTAATGAACAGCTTTTATTAGATATGGCAATAAAATCCCTTGGTCATCAAGTAAAACTCTGTTTTGTATGTACTTAAAACATTTTTCTCTTTTTATTTTAAATCTTTTATATGGTTTTCAGTTTAAAAAGATGGAACCTTGTTCCTGTGACACTTTTGTGGCATTACCTCCAGCAACAGTTGAAAATAGGATTATTTTTGGGAAAAATTCAGATAGACTCTGTGATGAAGTACAAGAGGTAGTTTATTTTCCTGCTGCAGTTCATGATAATCGGAGAGAACGTCTTAAGGTAGGTGAAATACATGATTTGTTAGCAATGTGTTTCTTTAAAAATATCGTAAAGTTACTTCTATTATTAGCAAGCTATTTGTCAGAGACTATAGAAGTTAAAAATTCAAGAATTTAAATTTGAAAAATAATTTGAATCAGAGCTAGACTTCTGGTCTTTTATTACAATGATATGGAGGAGGTTGAAATAACAATAATTGTTTCTTTGATCAAATATTTAAAAGTTTACCATGTGTAAGTGTGTTAAACAGGGCAGGAATTTTTTTTTTTTTAAGATTTTTTTTAAATTGGGGAATTAGGGGAGGGGAACAGACAAGTTGCTGTCCTTTTGTTCTTCAGTCTAGTTGTGGAGGACTTCGCTTCACTGGCTCATGTTGGTATTATCATTGCGTTCTTCCTGGGTGAGGCAGTCGCTGTACAGCCATTGGACTGCCAGCCAGCCCCACTGCAGCCTATGCCATTGCCGGCGACTCAGGGCAGCCCAGCTCCAGGTGAAGCTGTTTTTCACCATCTTAGCTGTAGAGGGTGCAGCGTCATGGGCCCTTCATGTGGGATCCGAACCGGGGCCCTGCTGCTCAGAGCTGGCGTCCCAAGCCAACTTAACCAGTGCACCACTTGGCCGGCCCCTAGGGCAGGGATTCAAATCCTGCTGTTAAGCTTAGATTCTAGTAGAGCAATAGGACATGTATGCAACTAACCCCATTATAAAGTAGGATGGTTTAAATGCTAAATTTAAGAGCCGCAAGCTGTGGAAAAGGAACAATTAATTCAGATTAGGGATAAAGGAAGGCTTCATGAAGACTTGGAGTTTCAGCAGAAGTTTGATGGACAAAAAGGATTCTGATTGGTGTACAACAGGAAAAGTCATTCCAGTCTCTGGAATACCAGTTTTATTATCTGGGAATAAGAGTTTTATTGAGCCCGGGGATTATACTGTCAACATGCTTTTTATGCAGTTATTTGAGAGAATACACATTAATTAAAGGATCCTTTAAATTTTCTATTTAAAAAATCTATTTAACCTGGAACTTAAAGTAGAAGTTTCACATTATGCTTTAATTGCTAACATATCGTATTTTTTTAGGTTTCATTTTGTTGATATTCTGATATTAAAATGTATTAAATTTTAGATGTTTTCTGTATATAAGGCCATTTTTTCTTTTGCTGAGACTGTTTATTCATCTTGGACCCATTTCCACTTTTATCTCTTCATATTTAAATCTAGCCTATCCTGTAAACCAGTGGTTCTCATTCTTTTCACTGCTGCAGACATGCCAAATGGGTGACTTCCACATATGACATGGGATTCTATGGCAATATCCTACATGTGAGGGCTACTGTATGGGACTTATATCACTAACCAAGAAACACTAGACATTGAAATTGAGAACTGCTTTTTAAGCTTTAACTCACATGCATCTTCCTCTACAAAATGTTTGAAGATTTCACAACTAGCAACTGTCTCTCTCCTGAGTTTCCATTAGCTCCTCATCTTCACTTTTCTTCATGGCCTTTCCACTTTATATTTTGTTGTATCTTAGTTAATGTACAAGTCTTAGTTTCTTGAAAGCAAGATCTGTATCTGATTCATCTTTATAACTAACATGTAATAGCAGAGTGCTTCATAATAGATGCTCAGCAAACATTTGAATGAATATATGCTTTAGGGTCAATTCTGAATATGTTTTAAGGGTAATTCCTTTATTATTGAAAATTTCAATTTAGTTATACTTCATTTATCTCTTTCACAACGATCATTTCTTCTGATTGATTTTAAGATTCTGGACTTGGATAGCTTTTCTGTTTAGTTTAATGGTTGTTGCCATGACTTTCTTTACAGTGTACTTACATAGAAATTGATCAAGTTCCTGAAACATATGCTGTTGTCCTTAGTCGTCCAGCGTGGTTATGGGGAGCAGAAATGGGAGCCAATGAGCATGGAGTTTGCATTGGGAATGAAGCTGTGTGGGGAAAAGAAGAAGTTTGTGATGAAGAGGCCCTACTGGGCATGGACCTTGTCAGGTTATTTTTCTGTTATGTTTTTGTACTGTAGAATGTGTCTAAATTTTAAAATTTGGTGTAACTTTTATTTTCCTATTTAAAAAATTTTTTTGGACCTTGATACTCTATAGTTTGTGTCAAAATGCTTCAAGGTACAGGCATGCAATGTAAAGACTCAAATATCATTAATTGGGAGAAGGCTAAGAGATGAAAATTATGATTCATTGGAAGTACCTTACATATTTTATCAGATCTTAATTAATTCTTACAGTAACTTCGTGGGGTGTATATTATTATCCTCATTTTACAGATGAAATACCTGAGTTTCAGAGATAAAGTAACTTGCCAAGAAATTACCAGATTGGAATTTGAACATTGATACTTTAGACTCCAAAAACTTTGTTTTCAATTCCAAACTGACTTCAGAAGGAATAGCTTATAAGTTAGATTTCAGCTTATCTTTTAACTTGGAGGAATTTTTACATTGAATAAGATTCTAAATCGCGTGTGCATGAAACTATTTAAGCAAAATACTGGAAATTTAATCTGAGGACTTTAATATTTTTATTTTAGACTTGGCCTTGAAAGAGCTGATACAGCTGAAAAAGCCCTTGATGTCATTGTTGATCTATTAGAAAAATATGGCCAGGGTGGAAACTGTGCAGAGGGCGGGATGGTATTTAGCTACCACAACAGTTTCCTGATAGTTGACAGGAATGAAGCCTGGATTCTGGAGACTGCAGGGAAGTACTGGGCTGCAGAAAAAGTGCAAGGTATGGACAACTTTTCATCATTTGTTTTACAATTAATAAATACCCCCTTAATTGCAGACATTGCATGTAATTATCTTCCAAGATTTACAGTGCAGTACAATGAAGGGTTGAAAACATCTTAAAGAACAAACAATGGAAGAGCACTATAGAGAGCTCTCTTAAAAAAGAGAAAAAAAGGTGCCGTTATCTCTTTTTCATATATATGATATAAGTTTTAAATAACATATATTTTCTGTACAGCAGCTCTTGGCTGTTTTATAATGCTTTTCCACTTTTTAATAATCACTTACCATTTCTTTCTCTTTTAACTTTGGGCTGAACTCCAAAATTTTATCATGTGTGGGTATGGCGGTGAGGAGAGGGGCGTGGTATCTGTGGGTTAGTGGTTGGAAAGAATATGTTGATACAGTAGTAAAGTGTAAAACATTGATATCATAGTAAAATAACACAATTTGATTGTTTTAGAATGCTTTGCTTTTTTCCCCCTCATAGTTTCTTTGTGATCATATATTCTTATTTTTCAAGTGAGAAAATCCAGATACGTGAAGTGAATTATTCAAGGCAGTGAGTGAAAGACTTACAATTTCAATCTTTTCATCCTGACTCTCAGTTCAGTGTTTTACACTAGAGTACAGCCTGTGCTCAAGCACAATCACATACTTCTTGTGTACTTACCTCCTGGACCTCCTGGTTTCACTAGGGAGATGAGATACACATGTGAAAATATTAAATGGTGCATGAATGATACAGACACTTAGATACTGCAAACATTTAGAGAAAGGAAAAGTCATTGTGATCTGGAGCAGTTCAGAAAGGCTTCACGAAGGTAGCCTTGAGCTTTGGAGGACTTGGAAGTTATTTATTTATTTTTTTTAAAAGATTTTATTGGGGAGTTGGGGGAGGGGAACAGACAAGTTGCTGTCATTTTGTTCTTCAGTCTAGTTGTGGAGGACGTTGCTTCACTGGCCCATGTTGATATTATCATTGCGCTCTTCCCGGGTGAGGCAGATTGGTCACTGGCCACTGGACAACCGGCTGCTCACAGTGACTCTTGGCAGCTCATGCCGGCTGTCACACACGGTAGCTTATGGCGCCCACTGCAGCAGGGGCTGCAGCCTACACCATTGCCGGCGACTCATGGCAGCCCAGCTCCAGGTTGAGCTGTTGTTCACCATTTTAGCTGTAGTGTCACTGGCCCCCATGTGGGATCCGAACTGGGGCCCTGCTGCTCAGAGCTGGTGTCCCAAGCTAGCTCTTAACCAACGTGCCACTCGGCCGGCCCCTGGAAGTTATTTTTCATAATAGGTTATTGCCAGTTGTTTTGATGGACATTTTATTTTATATTTTGCATGTATGTTTACTAATACATATAATTGAACTTCGATTATTTTTCTTATTGTGATAATTGTCTTGATTGAATAAATGTATTCTTTTGAAAAAGATAGCCCCACTTAGCCATCCAAAAGGAACACTTTCACTGGGTCTAATTATCCAGCTGTAGAGTAACTTTGCCAACTGGTTTCTCTTCCTTGACTAAATGAGCCCAAGAATTAAACAGTTAAACTGTAGGGAATTAGCTATTAGAGGGAAAATTTATTTTTTCTGTCTTTAATTCTATCATGACTTAAGTCTAGTTTTTATAATGAGAATGTCTTAAGAAATCAACTTAATTGATTTCTACTTGGCAGACTGTCATTCTGAATCTGTTTTAAAATATTATCAATTTTCATTTATCATTATATATTTCATTTATGATCTCTTTAGCACAGGCTTTTATTTCTTCTATTTTGTATATATATATATATATATATATATATATATATATTTTAAAGATTTTATTGGGGGAGGATTTTTTTGGGGGAAAGATTTTATTGGGTAATTGGGGAAGGGGGACAGCCAAGTTGGTGTCCTTCAGTCTTAGTTGTGGAGGGCGCAGCTAGCTCAGCTCCAAGTCCAGTCGCCATCTGGCCGTTGGCAGCTTGCAGCAGCTCAGCTCTGGGCGCAGCTCATTGGCCCATGTGGGAATCAAACCAGTAACCCTGTTGCTCAGAGCTCGCACTCTTGAGCAAGCTCTTAACCAACTGAGCCACTCGGCCGGCCCTCTATTTTGTATTCTAATTTACATTTTGTTTATAGCTTAGTGCCATGATATTTTTGGAAGCCTTATGTTTCTGTTGTAAACTTATTTATGTCTATCTTTAAAAATAATTCATACAAAAGACTAATATCTAACATATATAAAGAGCTCTTAAAACTCAACAGTAAAAAAAATCTAATTAGAAAAATGAGTAAAAGACATGAAGAGGTATTTCATCTAAAGGGCTATACAGATGTCAAAAAAGCACATGAAATGATGTTCAACATCATTAGCCATTAGGAGAAGGCAAACTAAAATCACAATGAGATATCATTATAATTCTATCAGAATGGCGAAAATAAAAAATGACACTACCAAATGCTGGTGAGAATGTGGAACATTGGTACTGTAAGAATGTACAGTTACTCTGGATAACAGTTTATTTTAAAAAACTAAACATGGAACTACCATACAGCAATATTGTGCATTTATCCCAGAGAAATAAAAATTTACATTCACACAAGGACCTGTAAATGAATATTTATAGCAGCTTTTTCTATGATAGCCCGAAGCAGGAAGCAACCTAGATGTTCTTTAACTTGTGAATGGCTAAACAGACTAGTACATACATACTATAGAATAATACTCAGCAATAAAAAAGAATGAACTGTTGATACATATAACAAACTGAATGATTCTTTAGAAAATTATAATGAAAAAAGCCAAAAGATTATGTACTGTATAATTCTATTTATATAACATTCTTAAATGACAATTATAGAAATGGATAACAGACTCTAGTGGCTGCCTGGGGTTAATGAGGGTGGGGGTGGGAGATAAGTAAGTATGACATTAAAAGGGCAACCTGAGGGACCCTCGTGGTGACGAAAATATCCTGCATCCTGACTATATTAATACCAATATTTTGGTTGTGATATTATACAATATGTTACCATTGCGGTAACTGGGTAAAGGATACACAGGACCCCTCTATTCTTTCAGCTGCATGTGAATGTATAATTATCCCAAAATAAAAAAACTAATTTAAAAAGTAATTCATTTATCTTTCTGAATATGTAATAGGTGCTTATAGTACAAAATTTAGAAGTCTATTTACATTTACATAGTGATTAAGAATCATAATATACAGACAGCTACATTATGTTAAGTATGACTTGTCTTCTCCCTCTCTGTTTCTTTGAAAAATAGAGGGAATTCGTAATATTTCTAATCAGCTTTCTATAACAACCAAGATTGATCGGGAACACCCAGACATGAGAAACTACGCTAAGCAGAAAGGTTGGTGGGATGGTAAAAAGGAGTTTGATTTTACGGCAACATACTCCTATATTGACACAGCCAAGATGATGATTTCACCAGGCAGATTCTGTGAAGGCTACAAGCTTCTAAATAAACACAAAGGTAATTTAATCATTTAAATACTATTAAAATGAAAAGTATGTTTTTTTATTCTTAGTAAAGATACAATTTTATTTTTGCACATAGATCATTCTATTTTAATACATAGAGAACTTTCTGTTTTTAAACAGATGCATAGAATTCTATTATTTTGATATCTTGTTTATTTCCATATGTTATATTTTAATCATTACAAAGATTGATTGTATAAATCATACTTGAGTTAACAAAGTCCTTGTTATTTAGGTTGCTTTTAGTTTACTGAAATTTATAGCTTATATGTAATGCTTATAGCTTATTTATAGTTACATCCATGATTATTTTCCTAGAATAAGTTTCTAGAAGTAGAATGTGGGGTCAGAGAATATGCATGTTTTAAGGCTTTTGAAACACAAAATGACCACCAGCACTTAGAGTACTTTTATTCCTGGCAATAAACTTAAAGCTTCAGGACATAAAATTAGCAGGCCTTCTTAGAAAATGAAAAACAACAGCATATAATTAAAGTGGAGAGGAAAATGCCAAGAATCCTATGGTTTAGGTAGTTGGACAAAAGGAAGAAAAAATGGAAACAATTACAAATTAATTAGTCACTGCATTATAATAATTAATTCTGTTTTATTTAACCACAAAATAACTGAATATTTGAAATGCATATATGATTATAGTAATAAATGCACCTGACATGAATCTTCTTTTCCCCTAAAGTGTGAAGTACAATTCACCCAGCTTTCTGTGCTTTGCCAAAAGAATAAATGTCTTTCCAGAACTTTCATAGAAAATTGACTACTGGTACATTGTGGTTAATTTTTCCTATGATTTTTCTAGATGGAAGAACTTACCTCTCTTCTTTCCAACTATCCCTGCCTGATAGCTATTAGCTGTGCTGTATGTATATCCAAATTGTATATGTATTCACTCATGTATTTTAAATAACTAGTTTAAATTGCAATGCAATTGCACCCTGTGTTTTGCATTCATTTTAGTGAATCCTGCCACTGCAGTCTCAGTACTTATTCAATGCTTGTTAGTGGATTGCTTATAGCTATCCTACTCAAGTGATCATGTAAATCCTCCTTTCATTTTGAGAATTGTAGGTTTTGAATACAGAAAACATTTTCATAATACCTGTATTATTGCAGTGTTATGGTTCTGACACTGTTTTCATTAAAACTTGCCATCTATAGGAATTTAGATTTGAATTATTTAAAAATCTCTCTAGGTGCAGAAGCTATGTGTCTGATAGATAGGTGTGGATGGTAGGCTGCTTCTTTGTTGTTTAGTTTTAATACTAAAGCCTGTTTTCAGGTGCACCTTTTTTTCTTCCTGCATTTTTTTTTTCAAAATTAATAAAGATATTGTTCCTGGAACAAGTTATTTATAAATTATTTTTCTTGACTTTGAAGTCATAGCTATACTATGGAGAAACTGATAATTTGCTATTAACATAAAACAGTTGGTAGCTTGCATGATTAATTGAAGGTGGAACATCAGATTATTTTATATGAAAGTCAATTTTATTTTAACAATTTGGGTACAGACTTGCTGTAAGCTTTCTTCTTTTAATTATTCCCATATATCATGGGGATAGGGGAAACTTGCTTTTCATGCTTTTTTATTCCTTTACTGTCATCGTAATCGGGTTTTGGGAGACAGGAGACAAATACTTGTGGTCAACCAACTATGTTGAATGAAAGTTATTTGTTTCTTTAGATATAATTATAATGCAATAATTAAAACTTTCTGTACAAAGTATCTGAAAATATGTGTTGGCAAGCCTATATGTTTTTTAACCGTACTCGTTACAGTATGGGTCTGCTGTGTTCATTACTATTATAGGCACATCTCAGAGATATTACAGGTTTCATTCCAAACTACCCAACAAAGTGAATATCGCAATAACCTGAGTCACACAATTTTTTTCTTTTTTTATTAGTTTCAGGTGTACAAAACAATGTTAATAGTGATACATTTCACCCCTCAAAAAATGATAACTCACTTCCCCCAATCTATTGCCCCTCTAACATCATATATATCTATTATAATTCCATTGACTCTATTCCCTATACTATACTCCATATCCTGTGACTATATAATGAATTAAATTATAGTTGACATACAATATTATTCAGCTTCAGCTTCAGGTGTACAGTGCAGTGGTTAAGCATCTACACCAGAGTCACACAAATTTTTGGTTTCCCTGTGCACATAAAAGTTCTGTTTACATTATACTATAGTCTATTAAGGAGCAAGAGCATATATCTAAAAAAACAATGTACATACCTTAATTAAAAATACTTTATTGCTAAAAAAATGCTAAGTATCATCTGGGCCTTCAGCGAGTTATGATCTTTTTGTTGGTGGTTGCCACACATCTTCAATTTGTAAAAAATTCAGTATCTGTGAAGCATAATAAAACAAGGTATGCCTGTATTGAGAAACTGATACTTCTTGAGGGTCAAAAGAGTCTGATGTATTTAGTAAGTGGGAGCTGTAACAGTGGAGTGGTTAAAAGCACAGAGCTGGACTTGAGTTTTTGGTTATGAAGGAGTAGCTAGTAATAGACTAACCTCCCCTGAAGAACAACTATAAAAACTGGAGGAATAAAACACTGTTTGAAGGCATGAGTGAACACCCCAAACAGTTAGGATATGAGGGGCCTAGATCCAAGAAACTGACTGTCTACACTTTGAGAAGAGCCTGTCCTTCTATGTCACAAATTCTCCTAAAAGCAATTGTTGACTTCTAAGCAGCATGTATGTAGGATGAAACACTGAGAAATCAAGCAGAAGGCAGTTGGTAAGTGATCTCAGGTAGAAGCAAGGTAAACAACAGTGCATGAAGAGCAACAAAAAATAGTAAATACATGGGTAAAACTAAATGAATATTGCTTGTTTAAAATAATAATCGTGTGGCCAATGGCCACAGCTACCATGCTCAAAATCTGTCGTACATGGATTTAATGTAGTACTGAGACTACAATTCCCACAGGCTGCTCCTGGCTGAAGATGGCAGGCAGACTAAGGCAGGCCCGTGACTAGGATGCCTGGGACTCCGCTGATTGCCGACTTTGGGTCAAGGATTCCTGATGGCCTTGCCACGCTTTCCTTAAATGGTATGGCAGTCTAGGAAATTTCCCCCTGCCTTTATTCCCTCTCTACTAAACCCAGGTTCAGCCTTGTCTCACAGTTTCTCTCACAGGCATTCCCCCTAATAAAATCCTTATACATTTAATCCCATGTTGTAGCATTTGCTTCTCAGAAGACCCAAATGAACACAGTAGAATTAAATGTATGAGAATAGCAGAAAAGACAGGAGGCGATAGTCGGAGTTAAAGTGTTGTAAGATAACTGCAGTAACTATTAAGTAGTGAAGAAGAAATTTAAGGCAGACTGTAATAATTTCAAGAAAGTATTACAATAATAAAAGAATGTATAAATAATAAGCTAATAGCATAGAAGTATAATAATAAATACTTGAAAAATTCAAAAGATGGCAAGAAAGGAGAAAAGACAAAGTATAGCTGGAATAAATAGAAAACAAATAATAAAATTGATTTTATTTTGTGTGAAGTTTTTCTTATGTGGTTTCTAGCACTGATGTCATATTTTCAGAAAGGTCATTTTCATTGTACCAGAAATGGTTATCATGTGACATGTTGTATTTATAGTTTTATTTTGTAAATTAAAATTTTAATTCTTCTGGACTTACTCTAAAATAATGTATGAATTAGGACTCAGCTTCCCACCCCCGCCACCCCTCAAATGATTTGTCAGTGATCTCAGCACCACTTATTAAATGAATTATCTTTTCTCTACTGAACTGAAATGCCAACCAAATTTATCAAATATAAATACCTAAGTAAACCCAAGTGTAAATTACTGAATTTTGTCCAGTTTTGTTTAGAACAGCCTAAGTGTACATAGTAAGTGCTCAGTGCTTGCTTTATGAGCCAAGGAACAATATGAGTGAATTTACAATCCTGTTTTTTTAAGATTTTAATAAAATACAGCTAACATACAATATTGTATTAGTTTCAGGTGTACACAATATTATTCAGTACTTACATACCGAAAGAATTGATCACCATGATAAGTCCAGCAACCATCTGACACTGCTATCACAATGTTATTGACTATATTCCCTATGCTGTACACTACATCCCCATGACTTACTTGTTTTATATCTGGAAATTTGAACTCTTTTCCCCCTTCATTTCCCCCCTATAAAAATTTTCAATTACCGTTGACGTTTAGAATTAGTTTATATTAATTTCAGGTATATAGCATAGTGGTTAGACATTTATATAATTAAAGAAGTGATCCCCGAGTAGCCTGGTACCTACCTGGCACTATATGTAGTTATTACCATATTATTGACTATTCCCTATGCTGTACTTTACATCCCCATGACTATTCTGTAACTACCAACCTGTATCTCTCAGTCCCTTCACCCTCTGTCCCCAACCCCCTCCCACCTATCATCCTGATAAATCTAATACCCATCTGACACTATACATAGTTATTACAATATTATTGACTGTATTCCTTATACCCTACATCTCCATGACTGCTTTGTAACAACCATTTGTATTTCTTAATTCTTTCTCCTTTTTCACCCACTCCCCCTCCCATCTGGCAACCATTAAAATCTTCTCTGTAGCTGAATTTCTGTTTTGTTTGTTCGTTTATTTTGTTCTTTAGATTCCACATACAGGCGAAATCACATTGCATCTGTCTTTGACATACTCCACTCTACAATACTGTTTTTTTTAAATCATAGCACAATTACCTCCTTAATACTCTGCTTTTTCAGAATTTTCCTGGTAATGTTCCTTGAATGTTCATTTTTCCAGGTGAATTTTACAATAATTTTTTCAGCTTGTCTTTAAAAAAATCTTTTTGAGATTTGACTGGAATTTATTATTTTAGGAGAGAATTGACATCTAATGACCTCATTTGAGTCATATATCAGCTGATTAATGAAGCAAAGATTGCAGAAAGCTGTGATGGATGTTAGGAAGGATGTTCATTTTATCTGAGTTTTCAGTCTGATGCCCCAAAGTTATGAGGGTTGCATAGGGGAGCAAAAGTATTCTTTTTTTTTTTTTAGATTTTTATTGGGGAATTGGGGGATGGGAACAGCGTTGGGGAATTGGGGGAAGGGGAACAGACAAGTTGCTGTCCTTTTGTTCTTCAGTCTAGTTGTGGAGGACGTTGCTTCACTGGCCCAAGTTGGCACCATCATTGTGCTTTTCCCAGGCGAGGCAGATCAGTCGCTGGCTTCTGGACGGCCGCTCACCGCGGCTTGAGAGCCGCTCATGCTGGCTGCTGGCTACACACGGTGTAGCTGCAGCCTATGCCATCGCCGGCGACTCAGGGCAGCCTAGCTCAAGGTTGAGCTGTTGTTCAGCATCTTAGCTGTAGAGGGCAGTGTCACTGGCCCTCATATGTGGGATCCGAACCGGGGCCCTGCTGCTCAGAGTTGGTGTCCCAGGCCAACTCTTAACAAACACACCACTTGGTCGGCCCTTGATTCTCATTTTAAATGTGTTGCTTTAAGTGGCTATTTTCTGGTACCAGTTTTTTTCTGATAATGAGAATTTCTTGAGTTTAGTCAAAGGAAAGCTTTTAAACCTATTTGGAAACTCTTCAGGAAAGATCATTTTTGAATTGTTAACTGTGGTTGAAATTGGATCAGGGGACTTTCACTTCTTTATATTCATAGATCTACATGTCTATGTCTATATCATTATCTGCCTGTCTGTCTGCTTATCTGTCTTTCTCTTTGTTGCTTAGAACAGTGCATGGCATTAAAAGGCTCTCAATAAATATTAATTGAACAAGTGGGAGGTAAACAGAGAAAAGTCCCATTCTTGTATTTAGAGAATTTATAGACAAAGGAGCAGGAATGTTTATAGATGGAGAGGAAAAGGTCATTTCAGTTAAGCTTAGTAGTAAGTTTTCATTTAAAGGTGTTTTAATTTGATTCAGGAGGAACTGATAGTGATAAATTTTGGAGAAGAGAATTATGACATGTGAGAGGGCGTTTTAGCTACTTTTGGAGAACTGCATTGTATAGGGGTAAGATTATTCATCTTGTCATTAGGGAGTTAGATCCCAAACCATACCTTTGACTATAGATATGTACAACAAGGAGCAGAACTGTCTGAAGGCATGATAGGCTTTTTATATTCTTTGTAGAAATGCCTTCCAAATAGGGAATTCTGAGGCTCTCTGTAACCCTGGACATGTTGTGTTTGCTAAAGAGATAAAATAGATTTTCTATTTTTCTAAAAAAACTCCTTAAAATGTCACACTTCATATATAAAAGCATAAAACAATATAATACCATCTATTTTCATCACATACAATGAACATTTAAATTTTGAAAGTAGTCCAGCAGAATTATGCACATACAAATTCCATGACCCAATAATGTGTTTTGTCTCCTTCATTCCCACTCAGGTTACAATTAACACTTTCATGTAAGAGTATTAGTTTCAGGCACAGAAATTATTACAGAAAAAATAATTTGCTATTTTGTAAAGAACATCATGAATAAATAGTATTGGAAACTTAGCACAATATTCTCTTAATAGTTGGTTGCCAGAATGGATATACTCATTATAGTTATTGATATTGTCAGCTCATTGTTAACTTAATATACCTTAAAATGTTTTGTAAGGACAATGAGATTATGTTTTTGCATTATTGATTCCTTTTTCTTAGAAAGTTACATAGATTTTTACCTGTTATAATGGTTTTAAGACTTTGTATATTTTATATTAAAAAATATCTTTCTTGCAACAGTGGAATGTGTCCAATCTAACAGTTATGATACAAGGTGTGTTTATAGCCTCTAATTTATCCCTAGACCAGTATTTCATGTTATATATTTTTAGTAGAGAAAGGAGTTTATATTTGCAGGATACCAATCTGCAAATTTATACATATTTTATGGTTTTAAAAATTATTTCCCTAGGAAACATAACTTTTGAAATAATGATGGAAATTCTCCGAGATAAACCAAGTGGCATTAATATGGAGGGAGGATTCCTGACCACTGCTAGCATGGTTTCTATTTTACCTCAAGACTCCAGCCTTCCTTGCATTCACTTCTTTACAGGGACTCCTGATCCTGAGAGGTAAAGTCCCAGAGTACTATAAACCAGCAAGGGTCAGGGGGTAGGGTAGAGTCATTAGTCTGTTGATGATTTTGTCAGGTTAAATTTTGTTACACAAATATGAAATTAATTTTTGGATGCATTTTCTGTTCAAGTTTTTTTTCTCCCATTTCCATATGTGCATAACTGCCATAACTATTCTCATTTTTATGGGAAAAAATGTTAATAGTTTTCTTGTTATCCCTATACCTTCTTTCCCCAAGTATATTTAACATGGTCAAGAAAAGAAAGTAGATAGATTTTCTTAAGCAGATTTCAGTATTACAATATTAGATGATTAATAACAGGATTTATAATAGGATTTAGGTCATCATGTATGTACTCATATTTAGAAAATACATCCATGTAAAACTTAAAGTATCAACAGTTCAAGTTTAGTAGAATTTGTATAGATTATTTTAAGTCACTAGTATCTCTCAAAAACCTGTAAGCACGTTATACTTAGAAATGATCTTATATTACTATCTCTTAGTGTTATAGTCTTTCATATTATTAAAGATATTTTCCAGAAAATGGAATGAATCCTGTGAAGCCCTTATTAATACTGCTGCTGATTTTCATCCCAAATCCAAATCCTGTCAGTAACATTGAGGATTGTTCTTTCCCTCCAAGTGTGGAGTTTGCAGTAGAAAATGATGAACTGTAATTTCACTTGACAGTGTTTACATGCCAGGCCCTTTGCTAGGTTCATGGGAATACAAGGCTAAATAAAGTATGGTCCCCAACCCCAAAAGAGATCCCAGTGGGAAGACAGGCATGGTTATAGTTAGTATGACAGAACGCATTAGTATGTAACAAATTCATAGAAACTTCTAACTAGAGGGAACCCTAGAAGATTTAGAATATTTTTTATCCTCACATGCCAATTTAATAAAATACTTTTTCCTCTAGATCTGTTTTTAAGCCTTTCATATTTGTACCGAATATTTCACAACTATTGGACACCACTTCACCAACATTTGAACTTGAAGATCCAGTTAAAAAGATTAAGCCTAACAGAAGACACCCACTCTACCAAGAGCATCAAAAGGCATTGGAAGTAATAGATAATAAGGAGGTAAGATTAGATTATATCCTCTGTTTTTTCATTAAGAATAAAATATGTGATTCAATCCATTTTTGAACTTTGGAATTTCAGCTTTCTTTCCTTCCTTCATACACAAAGAGGTTTAAAAATACTTTAGATGCTTAGACTGTAGTAGAGCTGTATTATTTTTTACCTTTGGTAAAAAGTGTTGTGAAGTATGGGGAATATAATCAATAATGTTGTGAAGATCTTGTAGGATACCAGATGGGCACTGGACTTATCAGGGAGATCACTTCATAGACTGTGTAGATTCCTGACCAATGCGCTGTACACCTGAAGCTAAAGTAGAATAATATTGAATATCAACTATAATTAAATATATACGTATGCGTGTGTGTGTGTGTGTGTATTATATATATGTATATGTATTTGAAGTCAGACAATTAAGTTCATAAACTCATCCTAGAAAAAGTGCTACATACCTCATTGCTAAATATCACCACAGTTACCTTCGAAGTACTCCCCTTGGGAAGCTATGCACCAATGCCAGCGCCTAGTCCACCCTTCAAAGCAATTTTGGAACTCTTCTTCTGGAATGGCCATTAGAGCTGTCATCATATTGATGTCCTGAATGTCATCAAAATGTCTTCCTTTCAAAATTTCCTTTATCTTTGGGTAAATAAAGAAGTCATTGGGGGCCAGACAGGTGATTAGGGAAGGTGTTCCAATCCAGTTATTTGTTGACTGGCTAAAAACTCCCTCACAGACAGTGCCATGTGAGCTGGTGCATTGTTGTGATGCAAGAGCCATGAATTGTTGGCAAAAAGTTCAGGTTATCTAACTTTTTCATGCAGCCTTTTCAGCATTTCCAAATAGTAAACTTGGTTAACTGTTTGTCCAGTTGGTACAAATTCATATTGAATAATCCATCTGATATCAAAAAAAGGTTAGCAACATCATTGCAATAAGTTCGTGAACTTAATTGTCAGACCGTGTGTGTGTGTGTGTGTGTGTGTGTGTGTGTGTGTGTGTGTGTAATATAGTCATGGGATATTGAGTACAGCATAGGGAAGATAGTCAGTGGTATTATAACAGCTATATACAATGTCAGAGGGGTAGTAGATCGTAGATCGGGAGGGGGTGTTATCACTTTGGGAGGGGTGTAAATGTCTTAACTATTACTTTGCTTTGTATACCAGAAACTACAAAAAGAAAAAGAATGTGTTGTGAATCTTTTATTAGACAAATGTAGTATATTAAACATAATATTGATAGCTACTTATTGAGCACTTACTATACACCAAGCACCATAGTACTATTACATGGAATATTTCATTTAATCTTCACAACCTCTTTATGAGGTAGGTACTATTATTACCTCTGTTTTACTGATAAGTAACCTGAGACTTGGAGAGTTTAAGTAGTTTGCTTAGTATATGCGTATACCTCACACCAAAACTTACGAAGCCATGGGAGGGCAGTTAACCTGGTCTCTTACATAATGTTCTCAATTATACAGCCTCAGATTAATTTAATTTAAATTTTTTAAATCTTTTTTTTGTTGTTTTTGTTTTTGCCTCAGGTTAATTTTAATTGAAACTGCCTTAACATCCCATAGACTTAAAATAATAATATAATAAAAGTAGTTTTTAAAAGGTGATATATGATTATTTAAAGTGTAAGCATTATAGAAGCTTAACATATCATTCAAAATCTTATCTCCAGAAATAAGCAGATGTATTTTGGGGCAGGGGGTGGGGGGTGTTGATGGGTGGATGGATGCACAAATAATTTTATAACATCCACATATCTTTGGCCTTCCTGCCCCTGAGATAAAACAGATTAGAAAGAAATGGAAGGGCTGCCTAAAGGCTTTTCTTAGAGCCATCAACTGATTCCCTGGAATGAAGGAAAAGATTGGCCATTTTATACCTTTTCTGTTTCTACCAGCTCCTGATTTTTCTTATGTATAATTCCTTTTACTTTGTCAAGGTATATTCATTTACATTCTTTCTACATGCAATGAATTAAAGGAATTTTCCTCTGGGCAGTTATTTATTTATTTTTGTCTATAGTATGTTTGCATAGTTACCATGCCTCCTCCACCCCATCATGCTATGCTTAAAGCAGAGAGGGTTGTCCAGACCTGCTGTGTGTTATGAATTCTTCACACTACTCTTTATCTGGGACCAGTTTGTGTTCACTTCTGACCTCCAGTGTAAACACTTTTTTGTAGCCTGTTGGCGTAGAATAAAAGGCAAGTGTTTGTTCTAGGAGTCCACTAAGTGCTTAGTAGAGCCCAGTCCACCAGGCCAGAGGTGTCCTCCGCTCGCTGGGCGTGCTTTGTTTATTATTCCCCAGACGCAGCACAGCACTGTGAAACTCAATGAGCCCTCTGGTTTGTCTTGCCTTTGCTCTAGTTCCTCAGAGACATTTCAAGAGCATTTGCTGTGGAGGGATTTTCCCTCACTCTTTACCCCGAGCAGCCTTCACATGCTCAGATTGCTTATGATAAGTTCTCTGGAGTTGTCAGTTCCTTTTTACCTCTCAATAACTGCTTCCAGGAGGTGGCTTTTGTAGGCTTATTATTAAATGTATGTTAAACTAAATTACTGATTGAAATTTTTTTAAGTAATACTGAAATAAAATATTAAAAGCTGTTACCATTTTAGGCTTTATTTAATAGGCATTAAATATTGATTGACAACATAAAGTGGTAGAAAGACAATAGAATTTGAGAGAAGTGAATAAAGATTTGGATTCTAGTCCTGACTCTCTAAATCACTACTTTTGTGTCTTAGGGCAAGTCAGTCCTAATGGTAGTTTTAAAGTACATTTCTTTTTTTTTTTCAATTCATTTTATTTTTTAAAAAGATTTTTTTAAAATATAGCTAACATACAACATTATATTAGTTTCAGGTGTACACCGTAGTTATTCAACATTTATATACCTAAAGAAGTGATCGCCATGATAAGTCCAGCAACCATCTGACACTGTACCACACTATCACAATATTATTGACTATATTCCCTATGCTTTACTTTACATCCCCATGATTAATGTGTATTTTGTACTATCAGTTTGTACTTCTTACTCCCTTCATGTTTTACACCCCGGCCCCCAACCCCCTCCCATCTAACACCCCAACAAATCTAGTACCCATCTGACACCATACATAGTTATTACAATATTATTGACTATATTCCTTATGAAATACCCTACATCCCAATGACTATTGTGTAACAACCAATTTGGACTTCTTACTTCCTTCCCCCTTTTTCACCCTGACCCCAACCCCCTCCCATCTATCACCCCAATAAATCTAGTACCAATATGACACCATCCCTTTAATTTCTGTTTGTGTGTAGCTTTCAATCTGAAATTAGTTTTGTAGACAACATATGTAAGAGTCTTGTTTTCTTATCCATTCAGCCCTCCTATGTCATTTGATTGGAGCATTTAATCCATTCACATTGAAAGTAATTGTTGCTAGATATGTAGCTATTGCCATTTTATTATTTATAATTTTGATCTTTTATCCCCATCTTAAAGAAGTCCCTCTAATATTCCTTGTAATACTGGTTTGGTGGTGATGAACTCCTTTAGCTTTTTCTTGTCTAGGAAACTCTTTATCTGTCCTTCGATTCTAAATGATAGCTTTACTGGGAAGAGTAATCTTGGTTGTAGGTCCTTGCTTTGCATGATGTTGAATATTTTGTGCTAATCCCTTCTGGCCTGCCAAGTTTCTGTTGAGAAATCAGCTGACAATCTTATGGGAGCTCCCTTATAAGTTACTAGTTGCACTTCATTTCAGTTATTGTATTCTTCACTTCTGACTGGTTCTTTTTTATGGCTTCTATGTCCTTTTTTTTATGCTTTCTTTCTCTCTGTTGAAGTTCTTACTAAGTTCCTTGAGCATCCTTATAACCATTGTTTTGAACTCTGTATCTGGTAGGTTGCTTGCCTCCATTTTGTTTAGTTCTGTTTCTGGATTTTTCTCCTGCTTTCATTTGCGACGTATTTCTTTGTTTCTTCATTTTGGCTGCCTGTCTGTTTGTTTCTATGTATTAGGTAGATCTGCTACATTATGAGTCTTGGCCAGATGGCCTTATGTAATAGGATTGACCCTCAGTCTGATTGGCTGTGGGGTTTGGCCATGTCCACAGCTTACAGGCTGCTGTGTGTGGGGGCTTACCCCACTGAGTGGGATTCACCCCAGGTGGCTCTAGTGCCTGTTGAGACTGCCCTTAGGGTGTGCTGCTTGTGGGACCAATTGGGCAGTGCTCTGCTGTGGCCAGAAGCCTACTCCAAGTATGTTGGTTCTGGGGCCTCTTGTGAGGGCCTCTGGTGCCAGCCCAGGTCACCCACTGCTTGTGACTGGCTGGGGACTACCTGGTAAGAGCTACAAAGTGATGCCCAGTTGTTCGCTGCCTGTGCTAACCCCGGAGGTGTGTGGGAGAGGCCACACTGGAAACCGAGGACGTCCGCCACCAATACCAGGCCTGGGTAGCTCCACAAAAATGGACATCCCGAGGCATGCTTCCACCTGCCAGCTCCTGTAAGGTTCAGCCACTGATAAAGCCTCATTCACTATGCAAGTTGGGTGAGGCTGGTCTCAGGGAGTCACTCAAGCGGGAAGAGTTGTGGTCACCAGGTGAATGTAAATTCTGTTTGGGTGCCGATGTTGAGCCTGGAATGACTCAGCAAAAATCTCAGAGCACATTGAGGTCAGTCGCTGACCACCTGGGGTCTGCCAGACTCTGAGAGTTTTCTAAGAAAGTGCAATGTGGGCAAGTCTGGCTGCTCACAGAGAAAGTGCCTCTGGCATTGAGGGAGTCGGGTGGGGCGGGGTCCCAGTGAATCAGCAGGGTGGAGCTTCAGAGCTCACTAGACCAATCAGATTCAGATTTGGCCATAACTGTAGGGGGAGGGCTCAACACAGGACAAATGGCGCTAGCCTGCAGGCTGCATGGGAGGACCTCTAACAGGGAAAATGCCAACTGTCCTCCAGCCCTCTGAAGTCACAGAACTCAGTCTGCCCCAGTGTTTCCAACACCCCCCAAATTACTGTCTCTTCGCTGGAGCCCAAGGTGAGTGCCTAGGAGTGAGAGTCTGTGTGCAGGCCTTTAAGAGGATGTCTGGATTTCCCGTGCCTTCCATCCCACCCAGGTGGTTGAAATCCCCACTGTTTATCACAGCCACATGTTGTGAAGGCTCCTCTTCCCGGCACCAGTACTCCAGGCTGGGGAGGCTAGTGGGCTGGGGTACCTTGCTCCGCTGGGGGGGAAACTTTGCGGCCGAGATATACCTCCTGGTTCTCAACCAGCACATGGAGGTTTGGGGGCCGTTTGGGCATCTCCGCCCCTCTTACCAGTCTTGATGTGGCTTCTTCTTTATAGCCTTATAAAACTTTTGTTCAGCCAGACTTCAGATGGTTCTCCAGGTTGATTGTTCTGTAATTTAGTTGTAATTTTAATTTGTTCACGGAAGAAAGCAGGCAGTGTTTACTTGGCCATCTTGGATCTCTAATTTACATTTCTTGATTACTAATGAGGTTGAAATTCTTGTATGTTTATTGGCCATTCGTATTTCTTTTTAAAAGACTTGCTTATTCTTTTCCTTCGCCTATTTTTCAGTTGATTCTTGGTTGTTTTTTTCTTTTACCTCAAAGAGGCAAAATAAGTGAATATTGTCTGTATTATATGTCAAATTTTTAATCTCAGTTAATTTGACTTTGTCAGATAAAAAAATTTAAATTTAGTCAATTATATTTGTTAGTCTTTTCTTTTAAGGGATCTCGATTTCATGCTTCAAAAGGCCTGCCTCACTGCAAAATAAGTATAACTTCTGTATTTTCTTCCAGTATGTATATGTGTGTTTGCAAAAACATTTAGTTCTTTAATTCAACTGGAATTTATTTTAGTGTATGCTATCAAATACAGATTCTAACTTTGTTTTCTAAAGATGTGACCAATACCCTTTATAGACTAAATAATTTTTTTTCCTCCACTGATATGAAATGCAGTTTCTTCAGAAAGTTTCATATTGAAGTCCATGTTAAGGTTAAGAATCCTTGTTTTGTGGAGTTCTGCCACATAATGGCTCAAATTTTAAAAATTATGCACATTTTCTAGTACTCTCTTCGTATCTTTTAGTTGCTCTTTCCCTTGAACATTACTGCTTTAGTTCTTTGTCTAATCTGATAATATTGTTTTAAAATATAGAAGATCCAAATTCATAAAAATGTCTCAGCCCCAATTTTCAGCAGCCTTCCCCATACATAACATGAGATTTTCAATTGTCCTGTTATTTGTCTTTTAGGTTCCTTGCTTATAGACTAATCCTACATAATTATTCTTATATTTTTTTACTAAAAAATAACTAATAATTTGGGGTTAATACATTAAGTCAATCTAGAAAATACTTTTTCTGAAAGAAGTTAATTCCTTCCACATCTAAAGAATGGGAGTGGGTGGAGGGAGGCGGGGAACCAAACTAGAAGTAGAAATCTGAATGAACAAACCTTGTCTGTAGAGGTTGGCTGGAATTTGGTTAGATTTGTGTGTGTGTGTGTGTGTGTGTGTGTGTTTATTTTTGTTTTTTAATTGTTTAGGAAAAAGCCAAAACAATGTTGGACAACATGAGGAAATTGGAGAAAGAACTATTCAAAGAGATGGAATCAGTCCTTCAAAACAAGCATCTTGATGTGGATAAATGTGTTAATCTTTTTCCTCAATGTACAAAAGATGAAATTAGGATTTATAAGTCAAATATTAGTCCTTAATGATCACATAAACAGTCATCAATCTTTCTCAAAGTCAGAATCAATCACCTTGGTAAATGATATAACCCTAGTTGTGAGCAGATATGATTATTCTTTAATAGCATTCAAGTGATAGCTTGACTGTTAAAAAAACTACATATAATTGCTGAAATATTGAGGAAAAACATGTTGGAATTGGACACATACATCATGGGATAGCCAGGTGTAACATCAGGTATCGACAGTTGTTATTTTGTTTTTAGCTACAATAATTTTTTTAAAATCACAGTAATTAAATATTTAATTCTGTATAAAGCATGAAACATTAATGCATGGATTTATATTTATTATAATTATGTATTGTCCTCAAATAATTTTCTCAATTATAACAAGAAAGCACAGTTTTCTTTAGTAATGAAAAATATTGTCTCACATAGTGATTTTTTGTGTGCTTTAGGCAAATATAACCAGCTTTAACAAAATTTTCTAGATTTACACATTGTCTTATTACAGTGTATTAATTCTGCAGAGGTACTTTTATTAAACTCAAACATGCTCTTTGTCAAGACTTGGCTGACCAGTGAGCCTTTAGCTCTAATTAGTAGTTTTTTTGCCATGCCCTTAATAGGCCTTATGTTAATATTTTCAGAAGAGCTTGTCAGGGATATTAGGAAATGGGATAAGAGAACCAAGATCTTAGGAGATATCATTTCTGTGTCTCAAATTGTTGTTTTGAATTTCTACTATGCTGCTTTTTCAATTCCTTGAATGTGCCCATTCCTTCATCATATCTGTATGAGTACTCTCTGCTTGCACCATTCATTCATTGCATTTGGTCCTCTTGATGTAAGTAGTTATTTTCAGCCTTTATAGTATTGCTGACACATGACTTTCTCAGGGAAGTTCTCCCCACCCCACACGGTCAAGTTTCTTGTTACGTACACTCAGAGACATATGTAATCCTGATTACAAGTGTAATTATATGTTTAACATCTGTCTCTCACAGTAGAATAGAAGCTTTATGAGGATAGGAACTATTTTCCTTCCTACTGCTGTAGCCTCAGTATTCAGCATTGTGTCTGTCACAAACTTAGATACTCAAGCTGAATAAGTATTTTGTTAAATGAACATTCAAGTACTGACGGAAAGAATTCACACAGTCCCCTTCTCTACCTGTGAAGTTAAGAAAATTAGGTAGACAATCTACCTGCTCAACTTGGTAGCCTTTGGTAAGTCTCAGGTCAGTCTGTTGCCTTTTTCCATATTCAAAATGGGAATCATAACTCCCCCGATAAAGACAAGGATTATTATAGGGGACATGTAAACTAATTTATAAAACAGTTTGGGAGACTTTCATTTTACAAATCCAATATGGTATTTGGGCTTTGGTACTTTTTGGGTAATTAATGCTTTGTATATTTTAGAAAACTTAAAATTTTTCTTAAATTTCATGTGTTCATTAAGAGTAAAAAATGTAGTAGCTGAAATTAAGCTTTTTTTGGGTCAACCTTAAATGATGTGGTTTAATATTTACCATTCTGTAATAATATGAGAAAATAATGTAATAAACTGAGTTATTTTAGAGAAAGCTAATTTGTTTGATCTTTGATGAAAACATCAATTTGTATATTAATCTTCAACTGAAAATTTTTCCCTAGAAATAATTATGCAGCCTAGAATTTTGGAAATTTAGTGCCTACTTGTAAAATTTGCCAAAACCAGGTTCTACAGAGTGAATGTAAATTACTTAAGGCTTTTATCATACCAGTTGTAGAAATTTATCATCTCGTCTTTTCCTGAAGAATGGTGATAACATTTTCGATCATAAACTGTGTTTTCAACTATCACTCATCACTTGGTTACCTATGTCCAGTGCTCTAAAGTAATATATTTTATATGATGTGAGATATGAAGGGACAAAAACCAAGAGCTGTATTCTGCTGCATAGATAACATGTTAAATAATAGTTGTACATTTTTCTTGCTTTTAGAAACTTACTGATTAACTGTTATTGTTAAAAATGCCAAGCACACTTTACCTTATTCTAAAAATATTGAAGTTTAAGCACAAACTAGGCATGGGATTATTCACTGAGAACAAAGAAAAGAACAATTGATCATGCTGAAGATTAGTAGATTTTAAGCAAAATTGGATCAGATAATTTTCCCAGCTGTGACCCTGCATATTAAACATGTGAAAAGGATTCTAATGTCATATTGAGTCATTAATAAAAAGTGTTTACTGAGTGCATAATTGGGCAAGGGCCTGTGCTCACAGATCCCATAGGGCAGTGGTTCTCAACCTTCCTAATGCCGCGACCCCTTAATACAGTTCCTCATGTTGTGGTGACCCCCAACCATAAAATTATTTTCGTTGCTACTCTACAACTTTAATTTTGCTACTGTTATGAATCATAATGTAAATATCTTTTTGTTTTCCGATGGTCTTAGGCGACCCCTGTGAAAGGGTAGTTCGACCTCCAAAGGGGTCGCGACCCACAGGTTGAGAACCGCTACCATAGGTTCATGAAGAATAGAATAATCTCAGGAGACCCATTTAAGAAAACATTGAAAACTTACATAAAAGACCTCTATGATGGCTTCTGCATTATTCAGATTACTCAAAGAAAAGATGTGGCAATGCAAGTTAAAATAGGTATTTTATTGAGAAACTTGCTTTGTCAGTGAGTAAAAGTTACAAATATTTTCATTTAATAAAATTAGCATATCCTTAATCCTAAAAACATCTCTTAAAAGCCTTCATTATTTGAAACTACAGATCATTCTGACCCAGTGTTTTCTTTTAATGTCTCCCGTGAAAAAAGGTGCTGCTGATCCCCTTCGTGCAGATAACAGAACATGTGTAATATGACTTATTCACAAATACAACAAATTCTCCACTGAAGTTTGAGTTGCCTGCATGCATGTGAATTAATATCTCCATTGCTGTAGCTATAAAAGTCACCTGGCACAGCGATGAGGCTTTATGCTTACTCCTGAGCATTCTGAGAGTTTCACTGTGGTCATATTAAAAAAAAAAAAAAAAGTTCCACAGCAAGACAGTTGTTGAAAAACATCCCCATTCCCTAATTATAACTTAAAATTGGTATACGTTAATATTACACACTAAAGTATAATTTACAGGCATACCTTGTTTTATTGCGCTTCACTTTATTGCACGTCACAGATACTGTGTTTTTTACAAATTGAAGGTTAAGACCCTCCACCAGCAAAAAGATTACGACTTGCTGAAGGCTCAAATGATGGCTAGCAGTTTTTGGCCATAAAGTATTTTTTAATTAAGGTATGTGCATTGTTTTTTCAGACATAATGCTATTGTACTTTTTAATAGACTAGTATATTGTAAGCATAACTTTTCTATGCACTGGGAAACCAAAAAATGTGTGACTCACTTTATTGTGACCTTCACTTTATTGTATGGTCTAGAACCGAACCCACAATGTGTCCAAGGTATGCCTGTACTTGTTAAATATACTAGGCTCCCATACAGGTTTAAAAAAAATTACATATTAAAAGGGCAACGATTTAACCCTATAAATTGTTTTCTAAATGACTTTTACATATGAGAAACTAAAAGTATGGATAAATAAATATTTGAAACATGTTTTAAATAAGTTAAACCAAAACTGACACCTACTAATTAAGTAGAGGTTCAAAGGTCATGTGGCTAGATCTCTCTTTAATTTACTGAAGAAGATAAAGTTATCTGAGGGCAATGTTTAGTAATTTTCAAATTTACAGATTTTTATACATGGACACCTAACAAAGACTAAATTCTAAATGCAAAAGATGTTAGGCTTAGAATTTTAAAATTCTTGTTTTGAAATATATAGTTTTTTCTTCGTTTTCACTAAGGAATAAGGTTATCCTTCTGCACTGTGGTACTCTATGCAAACATCACATGGCAATAATTTTGTTGACAAAATTTAAATGAATCTGCTCAAATTACTATTTTTAGTACAAAAGTTAAAGATTAGACTACACTTCTGTTGGTGGATTTTGGAGATGAGATTTATGGAAGTTCTTATTCCATTCCTAGTGGCACAGATTAGCACTTTGGATAGAAAAGCAAGAAAAGATGAATCTTAAAAATATAGCACTTTTCATTTTTAATGAGTACTATTTGTCAAGGAAATAGGAAAAATAGAATAAGAAGGTCTCTTATTAGAATCATTAGTATTCTATCTTAGAAGTTGCTATTAATAAGTGCAAAGTTGTCATAATTTAAGGTCTGTGTCCTGCCAGCAGCACTATACCTGCCAGGTTTGGCAATTTAAAGGAATAGTAAGTTGGATGTTGATTTTGAAATTAGAGCAAACAGTTGCAGGAAGCAATGTTTTTAAATGTTGGCAAAATTAGTTATTAACATTTAATAATTAGTAGTGATATTCATTCAGAATTTTAAATTTTGATTTTTTCTTTTTTTCCTATGTCAGTTTCCTGTGTGTTTTGCATACACATAAAATCACAGAATGTTAGCATGGGGTGGGAACATATCAAACTTTACAGAAGAGGCACCTGAGGCTCAGAGAGGTTGTGATTTGCCCAAGGTCACACAGTTAATAAGTAACAGGTCTGGGGCTAGAATATGACTCCATGTGGGGTTCTCTCCTTCATAATTTAGGTCTTTGGGGATAGGGATGAATGCTCAATTTCTTTATACCTTTCCTGCTGGGGAGTGGTTGCATTAATAGCAGGAGGACTATGTTCAGGACTCTTCTGAAGAAATCTGTAAAACAAGTACTCATCCCGAAATTCATAGTCGTTGGTGATATGTTGGATGACTCCCCCTTGCACCAGTCTGTCTCCATATATCACAGCTTCACCACGGTCGGAGGCAAGGCCGACTTCAATTAGCCAGTTCACCAGGTCACAGCCACAGAAGGTCCCAGCAGAAGTCTTTGAACCACACCTGTATGTCAAAGGAATGATTCACCCATATGTTCTGTAAATCTGGTATCAGCACTGCATGATAAAAGACAAGCAAGGAAAATAGAAGGAGACAGGGAAAGACAGCATGATAGTTAAAAGTGTGGCAGGAATGAAACTATTCTGAATATAAAGGGTTTAACTCACCTGGCCCTAGAAAGATCAACTGGAGACAAAGAAAATATGCCAATAATATGCTTATGAAAACGGAAATGCTTAACTCAAAAAATGACAAAGAATGTAAATTCATCTACAAAGATATTCTTTTTATAGTAGATGGCCTTTCTGATCAGATCCATTCTATAGACAGCTGAATATTATAATATATATATTTTATAAATTATATTCATAACAAGTAATTTGTCTCATGAACATTAAATATCTTTTACAAGTTCTTAAGAAGTGACTATTTTTACTAAACTACTCAAATCAAACTATATTTTCTGCTTATCATAGCGCCCACAAGTAGCCTTTCTTCTTGCCCTCAGCAGCCAAGACAATATTAATGATATGTTTGTCAGGAATTGGCTGCATTAGGAAGGAAGGAAAGAATAAGTGAGATCTGTCTTGTTACAAATCTAAGATTTTTAAAATGTACTTTAATTATAAATCTATTTCTTGATTACTTAAAATTTGTCTTCCTAATGTAAATGTGGGGTGCCTCAGGTATACACAAATAAACAAGGGAAAGAGAAATGTAAAAAACAACAACAAATGATTCTGTACATTTTCATAAATATGCAACAGACAACATGAATCTGTCCAAAAACATCAGGCAAGCTGTAAAACCTAAAGTGCTTTATCAATAGGAAACTGTGGATGAAAATCAAGATGAAATGAGAAATAGGTGACAAAAATTTTAAAACATTTAACCACAAATGAGAATATACATTATATGTTCATATAAAAATTAGAAAAGAGGTTAATAAACATAAAAATTTTTCTCAAGTACATATAAATTACAATATTTTAACATCAGTTAATAAGATATCTTAATTTATGCTTTGCAACTACAAATAGCACTTTCAATGGAAGCCTAAATATTACAACCTGAGTCTGAGCCTTGTTCCTGCTTGCTGAGTATTATTTTATAGCCAACACCTTCTATCCGACAGCAACGGAATAGTATTTGCTCCTTGATGACCCATCAGGCAGCTACAACCACAGCCCGTGGAGTTGTACAGGGAGTCAGAAAGCGTGCTGCTGTGTAGGCTTGCAGAGCAGCACCCCGCCAGCCAGTGCCCATTCAGCCACCTGGAACCCAGGCAGTTCCTGACAGTCGGCAATCACAGTGGGCCTGGTGGAGCGAACGTGGAGTTCCCTTTTCCAATTTTAAAAAGCAGTTTTAAATTGTTGAAACTATCCACAGATGGTTCTTTGAAATAATTGAGTTTGGTCTTTCAAGGGTGGGAAACTAACTTTTCTTTATAGTTTACCATTTCCAGAAACAGACCTTGGCCATCATAGATATTTGTCATCTAATTCGAACAACCCTAAGATCCAGGTATTTTAAAGTATTTTAAAGACGAGGAAAACTAAAGTTTGGAGAACTGAACTTGCCTAGTGTCATACAGCTCATAAGTGGCAGATCCAGGAGTTGCGTTCTAGTATTAGTCCCCACTCAGTGAGTCCCCTTTCCACTAGCTATGCCAGGCTACCTCTGGTCATGATGAAATACAGTGGCATAATATGTGTAAATAAATCATCCTCAGTGGTAATTTTCAAATTGTTAGTTACAGACACCAAAGTATTTGGTTCTTTATGTTTTGTTTTTTTTCTCTTTTATGACAACCAAAAATATTGGTACTGTAACATTTTGTGTTTTGATTTCCTGCTCCTTGAGGAATTAGAAGAATAAATCAAGAACTCTGTACCTTGAGGATTAGAAGAATAAATATGATGTCACAGACTGAAGATTATGACTTGAGGTGAAAAATAAGCAGCAGAATTAATTGAGACAGAAATATCATTTCATTTTCTTGACAATATCATTAGTAATATGAAATAATATACCACTAGGAGATGGGAATGTAAAATCACTTCTAAATCTAAATGTATTTCAAAATTTTATGAGAAACCCTAACGGCCACCATGAAGTGAATGTTAATATTCTACTACACTTTGGTTCGTTCTAAAGTTTTCACATTATTTTATATGGAAATTGGAAGTTATATGACATTTAAAAATATAAAAATCAAAGTGATATGGCTCTTACGTATGCTGCTTCTTAAACTATAAACTGACCCATAGCTATTTTAACTTTTACATGTATGTGTGTTAATAAAAAGAACAATCAGGTAGTTAGTCACAGCCACAGTACTTAACCTGTTACAAACCAAAATTAATCATCTAAAATATAGTTATCTGGAATCTATACTTACCTTCTTTCTTTGACTATATTTCGGATACAGAGGTCACGGTGATAATGGATAAATTGTTGACAGGTCATTTTTATTTCCTCAGGAACAGGAGAATCCCTGTTTTCTGCTGTTTCTTTATGGTTCCATAGAAATTCAAGTCTGAAAACCAAAATTTAAGGAGGCTGTTTTTAGGGAAAGAAAAGCACTGAGAGAGAACCCTTCCTGCTTATTACCCCATCAACATGGCTGTTCCAAAGCTGTCATTTACCCAGGCTGTCATCTACAACACAGACATCATTAGTGATTAGTGTCTGAAGCAGAAACATACTGAGCCTGCCTTTGGTTTCCTATTCAAAGCAGGCTGGGTTGGGGGTGAGGTAAGCTGGAGTGCAGGGCTTGAACATTTTGTAAAATATCCCCAAGACACATTTGTCCCATTTCAGTTTCTACCATAAATGAAGTGCCTGATTCCACATTCTGCTGTTTTGAAATGCAAAAATAATTACACAGATTAAGTATATAATCATTTTCCAATTTCAGTACCCAAGAAACACATACTAGGATCTGGAGTTCAGAACAATGGTGTTTCTGCCAGCCCAGACAATAAATCTGTTGACTATCGTAATTGATCAACATTATAAATCTGGTAACTAAGTTAAGTGACTTTCCTATTATGCTTTTCCTCCCCCGTGAAAGGATTATGGCCCTAGAAACTATACCTTACTAATGATGATGATGTTAATGATGATGAAAAAGGAGAAGTAGAAAAAGAATAGTTACTAATTACTGGGCACATTTTATATAGTTAGTAGGAGAAATTCCATTAATACTTCTAGTTTCTACTAATTTTGACTTTGAAAACAAATGAAGAAGTACAAGGATTTGTTCCTCCAGCCACTCCCTCCTATACCCAAGTTGGAGTATTCCTACTTCATTATTTTTCATAAAGAAATTCCTGATCTGAGCTCAAAGAAACACTTCAATAAGCTAATAAAAACCTAAACATTTAGAAAGGAAAAAACCTTGAGTTTTCTATAAATTGTCAGTTTGAGAGAGAAATCCTGTTTTCAAAGGAGAAAGACAATCAAATATAGACCCTTGGGGGCACACCACCTATTACTTCCATTTCTAAATACATTTTCAAGTTTCATTTTACTTTATGTAGTTAATGGCATAGATAGAAGCCAGCGTCCATCAATTTTGCTAAAATACAAATTACAATGTTAGACTAATAACAGTTCTTCAATATTTTCTCTGCAGTGATTTATAACAAATATGTGAGTCAAGAGATAATCTTTCTGTAGTGTTTAGTTCACACTTTCTGTGGTCTCCCAGCAGTTAGTCACTAAAGGTTTAAAAATATCAGTATTTTAATAGAATGGCTTTGTCATTACATTTACAGATACAGATTTATTTCAAATAAGTTTACCTTCTTTTGAAAGGTAGGATGATCAAATGTTTGTCCAATCCAAAGATGCCAAAGGAAATAAATCCCTATGGAAAAAAAAAGTTGTATTTTATGAATACAACAATAAAATTTTAAGACAGAGAAATTATGGAAACCACCAAATTTAGTGCTTGGGGAAGCAAACACATAGTGATTTGAGCAACATTTTAAATGCAGCACACTAGGCAGGCCCTCTGAAGTTCTGTGCCTGGAGGCAGGTATAATACTTGGCTGCTTCTTTCCTGTCATTTGTCGTACTGATTATGTGTGATATAAGCCAGTACTGAGTGACCGCATGTGCATGCTAGCTTACTGAGAAAATCAGAAACATTTAAGGGCTATATTTCTGTGTTATTCCCTTTTTAAACATAAAATATTTCACATTGTACTTAAGTATTTCCTTATTATTTTTCCATTAAAACTTCAGAAATTATAGAATTTAAAAGTGCTGCAGATTCTGAATATAACGCAGCAACTGAACAAAATTTATGTGAAATGAACCTGTCTACTGCTTAGGGAAGGGGCATGAAGGATTTGGGGGCGATGAGGCAAACCGGCACCAGGTATCAGCCACAGATAGCAGATGAGGACAGCTTGGGGAGGAGACAGGAGGTTGGGAACTGCCATTAGTCAGGCACGGTTGGATAAGGGATCTAAGTGTGGGCTGGTGGGAGGGGGGATGAGAGTGCAGTGTACCAGCATTACATGAAGGACCTACCTTTCTTCACTCCCAAACTATAAAGAACTAAAAAGGAATGATCTGACTACTAAACCTCACCTCCCCAGGAGAAAAATGGGATGGTGGGGTGGGGGGTGGGGTTGAATCGCACTCCCTCCTTTGAAGCACTTGAACCATAATCTAGCTGTGGGGCAGCATTTCAAATGCAGCATTCCTGGCATTAGCTTCTGTTTGAGACCCTTTCTCGTGCCAGTCCTGTGGTGGTGCACCTTAGAGTAGGCTTTAAAAATGCAAAATGCCAAGTGAGACTATGCTTTTCCAACCTAGTACATTAAAACCTTGGATAGTGAGTAACTTGGTTTGCGAGTGTTCTGTAAGACGATCAGACATTTCCAATACACTTTAACATGGTAAATGAGCGATGTCTTGCAATACGAGTAGTTTGTTTCTGGAACAAATTATGCTCGCAGACCTTAAATAGTATCCCGAAGTGAGGTGGTACAAGTAGCCCCTGGGATGCTCATGTCTGTCTGTAATAAATAAACTGAAGGACATGGCCATTTTCATTCCCACAATAATGGCAAAATGAGCATGAAATATTTCAAGAAATTCATGTTAGGGAAAAACTTGCAGGCACATCTACTGATAAATGTTAACTAACTCATATGGCCAATTAAAATTTNCCCATTCTACAATACGAATCCTGGGAGGACAGGGGTTTTTGTCTGTGTGCTCACTGGTGTGTCCCTAGTGTTGGGGACATAAGATGTTCACATATTTGTGGAAGGGAGGGAGGAAAGGAGAGAAGAAAAACGGGAGGGAGGGAGGAAACATCCCACTTAATCAAGCATCTCAGGAGAGGAGCAGAAACATCTAGAGTTGAGGAGAGGGACCACCTGCTGATGAAAGCAGCTATCAGGAAGCGCACCACTAACTCCACAGCTGTGAGAGGCGTGTAGGTGGACGAGACAGGCTCTGTTTACCCTGGAGCAGAGCTGGGACAAGTGGTGGAGCCTCTGATGTGACTGGGTGTTTCCCATGTTCTTATTTCAGCCCAAAGCCTCCTCTGTGGGACCGCATCCAAGAGGGAAACCACAGAAGGGTGGGCCCTTCTCAAAGTCTGCCCCCTTCATAACAGTCGTGGCGAGATGAGCACGATGCTCACCACCCGTCTCGTATCACCTCCACTGTACTCATCTGAAAAGCGGTAAGACTTAGTGTTGGAAGTAATCCAGTATTATTTGTGGTAGCATAAGGAAATGTCACGGAATTCTTAGCAGCAGATTCTGACACTCATGCTGTGCTGCCTTAGCAAATTCCATCATGGGCCCTAACAGTGTTATTAGGGCCATACTGTGTGCTTCTGGTGTAATCAGACTGATTTTTACATTTTTGAAATGGAATTGGGTTGTGTTGGAGTGACTTGTCTAGAAGCATTAATGGCTTGTGCTTTCGCAGCTCTTGATGGGTGCTTTTAACGTGGGAAGGCAGAATTTTTGAGTAAATTTGAATATCACCGAGCTATTTATATTCGATGACAACCCACTTTTAATGGTATGAAGACCGATAATGTCGTGCCCAGAGGCTGAGGAGAAACATTGAATAATCTCAGATACACTCTGTGTGTGAAATGCGTGAAATGGGGATAGATGCCTGGTGGTTTCCAAAAAGCCATAATAGTACCAGCTTACTATGCCCGATACTCAACATCCTTAAAGGGACGAGATTTCCACTGTGAGGAATTATATCTGGACTGTCACTGATGAGGGTTTTTTTGTTTTTTTTTTTGTAGCTGAGCCATCCTGCTACCTATTGGCAGCTTAGCGGCAGCTCAGCTCGGGCCAGGCATCAAACTGCTGTTGCTCAGAGCTCAAACTCTTGAGCAAGCTATTAACCAACTGAGCCACTCGGCCAGCCCTCTTAAATATCTATTTTAATAGCGACATAAAGACAACAGCACTTACTGTATAACTTCATAAAATTTTAGTTTCTAATTTTTAAACTGGGGATAATAGTGTCTACTTCGCAGGTATTATATTTAAATGAGATAATTAATGTAAAATGCTTAACAATGGTTGGCATATAGTAGTCTCTCAAGGAATGGTAACTACCCGGCCAAAATTTACTTATCCACCAATTCATAATTTTTAGAAAACATTTAAGTACCTATTGTTCAAGAAATATAAAAATGTAAATGAAATAATGCACATCAATTGAAGTGGCTAAACTAAAGGCTCAGAGAAGGTAAGTCATTTTCCCAGAGTGATTTGTTAAGACCGCAACAAAGTTCAAAAAGAACTTGGAACATCTTGTCCCTGCTTAAATTTTCATTCTTTCTCTCAAAACCAAAGCAAAAACTATTTGGTATTTCTGACTACAACACTCAGTGTGCATTTCGATGACTTTAACCTATATAATAATTCATCTCTACTAGGAGCCAGGCAGCAGCTGTCAGCTGTAAAGCATAGCAGCAGCTGGCAAACTAACTAAACCCTTTTGATTTAAAAGAAAACAACTTCCGCACCCTGCCCCAATCAATCCATCCAGGCAAACAAGAACCCCTCAAAATTCTCAGTAAGTTGATACCTGGCCAAAGTTAAACACAGCACAGAAGAACTGTAACTCAACATAGAGTCTTCCAGGCTCTTGGTTGAATAGCCACCATAAACAACTGGAAAGATTCTGTAAAAGAAGGGAAAGTAGTGTTTTAAAATGAAACAAGCTAATCATTTCTCTCTATCCAGAACACAGAACAATAACTTACCTACTTAATAATTAGGGAGAGAAAGACTAAAGGGAAAAACACCAAGAGACTATAGAAGCTTTGTCTTTTGAACAAGAGGTTTCAACCTCTCCTCTTGACAGATGTCACTCAAACAGCATCTATTCTGATCAGATTTGAAGCAAGAAGACACGAGCCATAATACAGAAGCTTACATAATATATCAGGACTGCCGACTAACGTAAGACAGGGCTGATTTTAAAATTAGTTCTACACAATGAAAACAATCACATCACTAAGCAGCACTTCTTGGCAGCATTTCTTACTTTTTGATTCTGGTTCTTAAACAGCAGTTAAAATGGTGCTGGCTTATATCATTCTATGTAATGACCATACCAGTGTAAAAAGTGTAAGAGGGTTTCTTTACAGGTTATATGACCCATTTCACACTTTTAGGCAAGTTACACTTAAACCATCTCAAAAAATTATATAATAATAACCGACAATTCAAAAAGGACATAAGAACGTAAAAAAAAACCCCAAAAAACCAAACCATTAGTAAACAAAGGAATGCATTTTAAAAAATAAAATGCTATGTTTAGCTTATAAAATTATCAAATTAAAACTTTTATAATATTCAGTGTTGGTGAGAGTACTTTATAAATCTATAGTACTCCTTTGGAAAACAATTTAGTAAAATGCATCCAAAGGCACAGAAATATTTATACTCTTTGATCCAGGTTTCCCAACTTTGAGAATCTGTCATAAGGAAATATACTGCACAGAGATGTTTATTAGAACACTTTGAAAAACCAGGAACAACCCATAAACGGTTGAGTAAATGATAATGTATCTCCTTTATGGTTATTGAGGAGCCATTTAAAGTAATGGTTATGAACAACTATGCAGCAACATGAAAATGCTCGACATAAATGACAAAGCAGGATATAATCTGTATGTATGATTAGAACCATGAAAAATGTATTAAAAAATGGAAGGCAGTAGTTTAATGGATATGTTTCCTCTTTTCTCTATTTTTATATCTATTGTATGAAGTGGTTATGTTATTTTCATAATTAAAAATGATTTTTTAAAGTTTATTTATTTGAGGAATATCTCCTGAGAGGCCATGTAGGCATTTATCCACTGAGGTCAGTCAAGAAACACGTTAGGAATACGTGGCCTCGTACACATCATGCAGATACCTGGTTTTACCAAATTCCAGGTTCAGAGCATAGAATGAGTAAGTGCCTCTAAGCAAAATATTGGAGCATTTAGGCAACAGAGTAATATAAATTATTCATTCCTCTTTTCCCCCAAAACATTTAGCTCAAGAGTAGGATTCAGATGGCCTACCCACCACCCACCATGGGAAGTAGTAACTAAGTTTCTCCCAGATGCCTGCATAAAACCTTTGCCAGACATTTAAAGAAATGGCCCCAAAAAACAAAATCAGAAGAAACATTTACAGCAAACAGGCCAATAATGAGAAGTAAACACAGCAACACATGTCGAGTCAGTTGTTGGTCTCCACTCTGTAGATACTGTTCTTCTTCCTGGGCTAATATGCAGCTCTGGGAGTTACAGCGGCTCACACAATGATCATCTACAAAACAGTAAGTACAACAATTTGTAATCAGAGCTTTTTATTTGAATGCATTTTAAATTCATAATGACTTCCTAGGCAAACCACCACATATGCACTTTCAGCTCAGCATCAGTAGATTATTTTAGACGAAATCTGAGGAAGGCTCCTTCATGTTGTTTCAGGAGAGTTCTACTTGTAGGGTGTTTTTAATCTGAAAAAACATGAGTGGTATGCAATAGTTCCCTTCTACACTATTTAACAACGTAATATTTATATGCTTTTTTTTGAAGGGTAAAGTAATAATTCAAGTTTAGCCTGTGATAAATACATATATTGGTCATAAATACCCTATTTTGGCTAACTGTAAAACAAACTACTACCACTTGCCTTTCACTAAAGAGTTTAAAATTTAAACTCTTTTATTTTTAAAATTTATTAAAAGAGTCTGTAATAAATAAACTGAAGGACATGGCCATTTTCGTTCCCACAATAATGGCAAAACGAGCATGAAATATTTCAAGAAATTCATGTTAGGGAAAAACTTGCAGGCACATCTACTGATAAATGTTAACTAACTCATATGGCCAATTAAAATTTAACAGGCAAACCCAGTAATTTCAAACAGTATTTTTTTTCAACCTGATACTTAATCTGAGGACTACCAGTCTCTAATTAAAAAGTAAAGGATTGAATACAGAATCAAATTTTGAAATTTGCACATAAAAACATTTTCCAATATGTAAAATATCATTTATCTTAATTCCTTAAAGATGTTTAAGGAACCAAGTAAAAAATATACACTTTAGGGGCTGGCCGAGTGGCTCAGTTGGTTAAGAGCTCGCTCAAGAGTGCGAGCTCTGAGCAACAGGGTCACCAGTTCGATTCCCGGCCTGAGCTGAGCTGCCAACAGGTGGCAGAGTGGCTCAACTGGAAAAAAAAATACACACACACACACACACACACACACACTTTATTCTCTTCGCATATGGAACCAAATCAAAATCACAGTTATGACTCTTCTCTGGCCTAAAATAGAGGTGAGGGGCCTTTCCCAAGAAACCTTTGTTTTCCTACCTCAGCTTCATTATATACATATGGCATCAAAAACAGGGGAAAACAGGGCCAGCCGAGTGGCGCGATGGTTAAGAACTCGCCTGGGATGCCAGAGGGCCCCGGTTCGGATCCCACATATGAGGGCCAGTGACACTGCCCTCTACAGCTAAGATGCTGAACAACAGTTCAACCTGGAGCTGGGCTGCCGTGAGTCGCTGGCCTACGGTGTAGGCTGCACTCCCTGTGGCAGTGGGTTGCCATGGGCTACCGTATGTAGCCAGCAGCCAGCGTGAGCGGCCAGCAGCCAGTGTGAGCGGCCAGCAGCCGCAGTGAGCAGCCGCAGTGAGCGGCCGTCCAGAAGCCGGCGACTGATCTGCCTCGCCAGGGAAGAGCACAATGATGGTGCCAACTTGGGCCAGTGAAGCAGCGTCCTCCACAACTAGACTGAAGAACAAAACGACAGCAACTTGTCTGTTCCCCTTTCCCCAATTCCCCATCACTGTTCCCATCCCCCCAATTATCCAATAAAAAAAATAAAAAATAAAAATCTTAAAAAAAAGAAAAAAAAAAACAAAAAAAAAACCAGGGGAAAACAGGGTGACCGGTTAGCTCAGTTGGTTAGAGCGTGGTGCTGATTACACCAAGGTTGCTGGTTCAATCCCGCATGGGCCACTGTGAGCTGCGTCCTCCTTAAGAGAGTCAACTATGCCATTGTAGCATGAAAGCAATGTGTAACCAATGATTATGGCTGTTCCCCAATAAAATAAAATAAAAAAAGGGGGAAACATTTTTATAAAATAGATGTCTAGTTTAACACACAGTCTTGTTTTAAAACCTCAATGACTAAAACACAGGGTACCTCTACCCTCAAGCTAACAATAAAAATATTATTTCCTAAAGCCACTTTTTCAGAAAAGGACATATACTCCCAGAGCGTTCAATGTGATCTAGCATAATAGCTAATGGCATGGGGGAAAGTTCACAGTGCTGCTAAGTAAAACAAAAGCAGGCTGCCAAACTATCTCTGTAATATGATACTATTTTAATAAAAATTAGTTGTGTAAATATTGCTGTTAAAAATTCTAGCAGTATATATAAATATATACTGCTCTTAAAATATTCAGATATTATAGAAATGGATAAAAATAAATTTTAGTATGTTTCATTTGCCTTTTTTATACATTGCAATATTTGTTTTGCCTAGTTGCTGTGCCAAGTGTTTTGGGGGTGAGTAATTAATTATATTATTAAACTCTAAAATTTCTTATTTGTCATGGTTGATTTCCTTTAGACTTTCTTTATTTCAGGCTTAGGAATGATACTAAATTATATGAGCCGATGAAGTCCACTTATAATGGATCTCATTCTATATAATTTTTATAAAATATGGTCAGAAAATCTAAGAAGTCCCCACTTTTGTTTTCAGGAATCAGGATTATTAATGAAGAGAATGACAGATAAACAAAGGATAAGGAGACTTTTGGAGGCAAAAAAAGTTATTAAATCAAATTACATGTTGAATTTGTCAGTGGGCTTTACTATTAGGTATACCGATTGTGTAGGGAGGAAAAAAATAAGGTGGAAAGGCTTGGGAATTCTGATGTAAAGAAACATTAGCTTTAAAAAGGGGGCACGCAAATAAAAACTGAAAGACAAGTTTAAGTGAATGCCAAAACAGGTTTCCTATCAGACAGTCAGTGAAGGCCCAACATCTAATATATTTTTACTTTTTTCTATGGAAATGCGAATTCTACTATTTTTCATTCCTAGCCAGCAAATAGCAGTCAAATGTAAACCCTGAAGAGTAACTACTACTGCTCCTACTATGTTTAGTGAGCATTTCCTTTGTACACCACTTACTGTGCTGTGAGTTGCCTACGTTATTCCTTATAACCCTCACAACATTTGTTAACATAAAAACATAATGCCTTTGGCAACAATTCAGTTGACATATGCTTCATCATAAAGAGGACTCCTTGCGGTTTCCCTTTCTAGTTTGATTATAAATAAGCATAATCAACTAAAAATGCATTATAAATTCACATGTGTTCTAATTGTTTTAAATAATTTGAAATTCAGACCGCAAATGTAATTCAATCTTTTAGTCTGTATGCCAAAAGGTTACTACTTTTAAAAGATTTTCTTATTTCATAATAAAGGGTATATTTTAAGTATATGGAATCAAAATGTAATTAAGCACTAATTAATTAGTCCTGGCCCTGGGGGAGGAGAGGCAGAAAATCTCTGCTTCTAAAGCAAGAAAAAAGGCCAAAAAAATAATGGTAGTTAGGGCAAACTTCTTGGAATTATTACTTGTGTTAAATTTACTGGAAAAATTAATTTGTGTGTGTGTGTGTGTGTAATACTACCTATTACTACATTATAAGAACTTTATTTTTTAAAATAAGTATTCCATCTATGCATGATCATTATCCTATTAACACTTTCTCCCATCTTATTTGAGAATACATATTCTCAAACAGTGTAACTGCTATAAAAATTCTATGCAGAGTTCTTTTAAGGCATAAGGATAAGGAACCATCCGTTCCTTAGGCCCACCCTCATAGCCCAGAGGTACTTACTTTTCTCAAATGAAGGAGTCAGAGGCCCACTAGTGCTTATGTTGGCTACTGGCTTTGCGGATGGGCAGTGTAATTCACCATTTCCCATGGAGCAGGAGCAGCAACCTATACAGATAAAATAACGTGTGAGGACAGAGCCCAATCACCACACAGACAACGTCAAGAGATGCCAAAACAAGCAAACCAAAAAACCAACCAAACAAACAAAACACCCAAATAAATCCAATCATGCACACACAAATTTCCCATGCCACCTCAATGAAAACGTTGTCACATAGTATCTATCGAAAAGTGTTCGAGTGTGCTTATATAGAAAAGTTAACATTGAAAGTGTGCCTGACAGAAGATCAGCTCCTTTACATACTGTCTCTCCTCACTGTATGAGACAAGGAAAAATGTTTTTATCCATGCTGTTTTATTAGTTTCCACTATGCTTTTGGAACTAAGTATTTGAACACTTTCCTAAAATACAACTTTTATTTCATCACTCCTCAAAAACATGCCCTAATGCTCTCTGGCTAATGGTAGTTAATTCAAATTCCTTGGCCTGAATTGGAAAGCTCTCTAGTTGGCCCCTCTCTCCCTATCCAGCCACTCCCACTATTCAGCAAAGGCCCTTCCCTGCTTTCAGAACAATTCTTTAGTGTCCTCCACAAATCACATGCTTATTTGGGTCTCCAGGCCTTGTTTGAGAGGGACTTACCACCCTTGTTAATTCATCCAAACTCTCCCCTCCTCTAAGTTTAGCTCAAGCTCACTTCTTTCAAGACGGTGTCTCCTACTGGTTTAGAAGATACAGTAACAACAATGATATCCATTTTTCTTTTCAAATATATACTGCTGAAAATCTCTTGTTGGTTTTAGGTAGATTGGTAGATTGGTTTACAGAAGTCAGAGCTGTAACTTTTTCCTCTATGTAGTCAGAGAACTGCATGCAGTGTCCTTTAAAACATTTCACACATACACAGACATGGCATTCCTTAATAAGGATTAGAATAGAATAATAGCTTCAGTAATAGACTGTATTAAAATGTAATATGCTAGAAAAAAGAATAATTTCTAGGGGGAACCTTCCATTGATAATGTGCTTTAATTCTTCAGTAGTGTTCTTAAAAAGAAAACAAAAGATTTCAAAAGAATGAAAACTACAATCTATAATAAGCTATTACAAATGTCTTCCAAATGTACAATAATAATGCTATCTTAAGGTTACAGTTGAGCCACAGAATAATAAAAAAGAAAATCCAGAGATCATCTGGCCCAGCGCTCTTATCTTCAGAAACATGAAAGCTTAAATTAGCCAAGATGAAATCATTAAGAAAACAGATATAAAGCCAGTCCACTCCAATGACATACAATAGGGAACACACACACACACACACACACACACACACACACACGGAAGATTATGGCCACCATGAAAAGTACTATGGCAGTTTTTTCATTCAAACATAAGAAGGATATATAAGTAGCCCACCAGCCTGCCTTCTCTTTTATTAACTGAACAGTTGATCTCATATTAAAATAGGTTAATTTTCCTTTCACTCATAATTCCACACTAGAACATGTGAAAACCATGGGTCACTGACAAATGTGTAGCAAGGGGCAGAAGAGAGTGAACTAGTTTATATTACTGAGATTTGGGGAGGCCAGTGTGGACAGCTAATGTGTAATGTGTCAATACTACTAGCAGATCAGAAGAGAGCGGGATTTAGGGAAGGAAAATAACCCAACGGGTTTAAAGATCTTTTCCCCAGGAACATGGGTGAATAGGCAAATAAACAAGTATTCTGCCGTGGCAGTTTCCAGGGCAGCTTCAGAAAATCATGGTGTTATCTTATCCATCCATCCATCCATCCATCTATCCATCCATTTAACCAATGTTACCGGACATGTACACTAAGCTTGATACCATGCTAGGTGCTGAGGCTATAATGATAGGCAAGTCAGTGATAGCTCTTACAGTCCAGTGGGTTATACAGATAATTTAAAAAGCGATTACAAAAGTGAGATAAGAGGAGAGGGAAATATAAGCATTACAGAAGGTTTCCTGAGCAGGTAAGTGGTAGCTGTCTTCTGGCTCTCCATTTATTTATTCTAAAGGTATAAGCTAGTTTTTCCTGCTGGAGACGATGACACAGCATTCAGAGAACATCTATGGTACAGGTTATTTGCTATTTTTAAAAGACAGGTAAAGAGGTAGCAGCAAAAGTCTCTGGGCTTAGGACACTTAGTTTAGGGCTCCCCACAGACAGTCTCAGGCCTTTCCTGGCCTCTTCTGAAATACTCGTGGGAGAGGAAGACACAGCAGGCTAACCGGAAGTGGTGGTCTTCAAGCCCTGCCTGTAAACAAATAGTAGATAGATTTATAGGATAAATGTAAGAATCCACAAAGAAAGTGAGGAAGGAGAGGATGCTGGGCATGATCAGGAGACTTAGGGAGAGCGGCTTTAAACATGTTAGTGGAAACATAAATGTAATTCTTCAACCCTTTAAACATGTACAAGCTATTCTTAGCTCTCGGGCCATACAAAAACAGGTGGTGGACCAGATTTGGCCTGTACACTGTAGATTGCCAACTCCTTAACCTGCTTTCATCAGGCCTCCTTTTTCATTTTATTGATGGTGCTTGACTGTACAATGTTGTTAAATTAACAAATGTAGGTGCTTAGGTTCCTAAGAAGGGCCTTCCTTCAGTTGTTACTGTCTTCTAAAACTCTCAGGTCCGAGGAAGTTTTAGGCTTTACCAAAAGATTATCCTAACAAAAGAACTTACAAACAAGTATCTAATGAATGAACTTGCAAGCTCTTTTTATTGTCGACTATCCTTCAAGTTCCTCATTTGACAAATACCTGTGATATTCAAAATAGCTCAAGGAAATTGCCTTTAACAAAACATTTAGGATGCATGCTATACAGGCATGTAAGAGTTTCTTTATATTTATGGATCATACTTGTTTCTGGGATAGCACTTGTAAAAGGCTCGGGTTCGTTTATCGGCACTGGGCTGTCCTCAAAAGCAGCGCTTCCAGTCTCTGCCGCCACGTGGTTCTGAGAATGCTGGAAGCCTTCATAGTGTCCTGCTTGGGTGGTGCGGTTCATGCACATTAGTGATATTCCGGCTATCCCAATGCTGCAGAACAGGGTGACGGATGTGATGATCATCTGCCAACAGTGTGAAAGGACATTAGGCCATTTTACAAACCCATCTTGATAATCTTAGTAGAATAGATTAAGGGCACTTTTTTTTGGTGGAAAATGCAACGTCTCCATAGCTATAAATGCTCTAGAATAGTGGTTCTTAAAAAAGAGGAAGGATATGGAAGGGATGTAAGTTATTTGTAGAAAAATAAGAGTTTGCTTGTAATTATATAAGATTTCTAGATGCTTCTTTCACTGTGCATCAATGCCATGGGTTTCCTTTACAAGTAATCTAAAAGACTGCTTATGTATTGCTTTAATACATAGTTCAAGTGTACTTCAACTAGAGATTGTGTTATGGTGATAGTATAAAAAATAAATAATTACAGCTAATATTTATTGAGTATTAACTATATGCCAGCAGTAATCTAATTCTTTTCTCTACGTAATCTTATTTATTCTCACAACAACCCAATAAAATTCAAAATTACAAAACAGGAAAAAATAAAGGGTAAGAATTTGAAATCACTTGAGGCTTTTAAAGAAGACACATCCTTGGGTCTACCACCTGGAGAATTTCTGATTCAGCAGGTCCCACAAGTCTCCTTCTCTATAGCTTTTCAAGCACTCTTCCTCCCTCCCCCCGATACTTTTTGTTCTGAAATTTATATTTATTATAGGATTGAAAGTAAAGAGGCTTTTATATTACTGCTAACTTATTAAATGGCTTTAAGTTAATCACTCTTTTCTCAAAGTAGAAGAAACATAGATTCATAAATGTGGTTAAGAAGACTTAGTGTCAAACATTTGGAGATCCTCAGCTAAAAACACAGACATGTAAAATCTTTACCACATTTTGAAGTGTGACTTAACAAAGCGATATAGGATTACCAGTGTGATATGTAGTAAGTTGGAACAGATTTTCAAAATTAATTTTAATGTATGTATAGCAAAACACATTAACAAGCTAAAACGAGACCAAGAGCAGTACTGTCAATAAGCTCTTCTCACCTGCTCTTTTCCATAAAAGAAGGCTGAATCAATGCTGTCTCCACTATGTTTTCCAGTAATCAAAAGAACACCCACAAGAAGAGCAGGAATTCTGCAAAAACAAGGGTTTAGAGAGAAGGAGGATGAACAGTAGTAACTGATGACAAGGAGAAAATTCTGAGATCTTCTAAATTGAATTATGGTGGCCCAGAAAATGAGAGAGACAGAATTGTTAGTCTAGTAATGGCGGTGGGCCACCTAACGAAAGGCTGTTCACATTCCTGTTGATCTGTAGGAATTTTGGCTTGATTTCCAGGTACCTATTTCCGCAGATTGTTTTTTAAGCCAAGCACCATGGAACTCCGGGAGTGTTTGCATGTGGGCTTGCCCACAGCGAGTCCACAGGAGCAGACATTTCTTTTTGCAGACTCTGTGCCCATCCCAGAGCTGGCCCTGCTTCACTTTCTCCCACCGTTTTGCCTATGGCTCATGTAAATTCTTTAGACGGGTTACATCTTTCTTTTCCCTTCCCCTTATTTGATGTATAAGAAAGTTTGCAAACTCCGAGACAATGGACATGTTCTCTTTCCTACCTAGCCCTGCTGCGGGTGGTTTAGACTCCATGCCCCAAGACTGGTCTTTTTTGCTAGCAATGATCTAATAAACTCTTTTAAAAATACTTCCAGCTGTGGAAGTTACATTTTTTGTTTAACGCTGCACATATGGAAAATGTAAGCAAACAAAACTACCAACTTACCCCCAGCCACATATTATGATGATTCCAACAGGAATTTGTACTCCCTCTCTCTTTTTCAAAAGAAACAAAGAAATTGCTAGAAGGCCTATGAACAAGAAACAGAGATTGAAAGATACATAATTACTCTTGATGTTGATCAGACTTCATGGAACTCTATTTAACCAAGCTCGTTTCAGTAGCAGTATGTAGTTTTTGCCTTAGCATTTACTCCTTCTAAGTAAACGCTGCCCCCAGTATTTTGAAGCAAGTTTTCTTAATTCAAAATCATTTGTGTTTTCCCTCCTATACCGTCTTTACTCAAATCTTCTTGTTTTATACATTAGGATATTTTCAAAAGCCCCAAATCACCATCTTGTTCTTTTGACTGATGTGTTTAGAATCGAAATATATTTGGAAAAAGAAAATTTTTAAAGTGTCTACAGAACAATCCTAAGCATAAAAACACCCCCACTCTGCTTGTGCTAAGAAAATACAGGCAATTCTTACACAGGTTTTGTTTTTGGAAAATGCCTCAAATCTAAATGATGGACTTTAATACAAATATAATATGTACTTAATACAAAAGTTTTAAAGTTCTTAAGCTTTCCATGTCATTTATACCTAATTATTTATAGAAGTAACATCTTATTTAATAAATTCTACATAATCATAGAATCTTAGAACTGTAGGGTCAGAAGGAACCACCATTTTAAATTAACAGCTTCGTTTTACAGATACGGAAACAAGGGTTTGCCCAAGCCCCACAGCCAGCAGAGGGCAGCACAAGTCTAGGAACCCAGCCATCTGCTCCACGGTAAATCCAACTCTACTAGTGTTTCTAAAAATCAGATCCGGAGGGTTCCTAAGACATATTCTTCAGGATCTGGAAATTTCTATGATAAATTTTAAATCTTTTTGGTATATTTTCAATGATAATCACCTAGATGTCCATCTTATAGCCAAAGTATAGTCTCATGATTTCAGGGCTTACATTTGGTTTCATATTCAGTTTGAGCCAAGTAAAGGCCAAATGATACCACAACACATGGTCCAAATGAATGTTCTATGGTAATTTGATGGGAGAAAAGCAGCATATGGGTCATAAGCCCACACATGGAAATAAAGGCAGGCCAAACTAAAAAAAAAAAAAAAAAACACACAAAAAGAAAACCTAACCAGAGAAGTGAGTTCCATTTTACATTTCAAGCTGTGATTTGATTAGCAAAACAAGATCCTTTGTCATGTCAATTAATGTTGCTAATTACAATTACTGAGTTTATAGTTTTGTTTGAATCTCATCTGTGAATTTACTTTGCTTTTAAAGTTGTATATTAGCCATATATAAGATTTAAAATTGTACAGATTAAGTAACACTGTTCTAGAAATAATACAAATTAACACTAAGGTCCTTGAGAACTGTTTTTCTTTACAGGAAGTGATACTATAATACTACTGCTCTTCTCTAAATACATTTGTACACTCTCTAATTCCAGGTTTTCAAAGTGGGAAGGAAACCAGTAACCAATCACCAAAGTGTGCCAACTGTGTTAACATCGCAAGGGCACTCTTTACATTTCTAACGTTCATTATTTCTTCCTTGAGAAAAGACTGATATGGGAACATGCCCAGTCTAGCCCTGGATCTCTCACTAATGAAGGTGTGAGAGCTCCTGCCTGAATCAGTTAAATGCTTTGGGCCTTATTTTCCTCGTTTGCAAAATGAAGGATTTTAACTAGACCAGTGTTTCCAAAAGTGTAGAGACAACAGGTGGCACAAGGGTGAAAAAGTTTTGATTAGTGTTTAACACGTGCTTGAAAAAATTTTAACTAAGACATGAAACCTGGGATTTTACTGACGTAAGGCTCAATTTATTAAAATAAAAAAAGTGAGTCAATTTTAAGGGAAAAAAAGGACAAGTGGTATGCAGATGACAAAAATCATGAGAATGGTATGCAAACCAGTGACATTGAAAATGGCTGAATAGGATGATTTAAAATGACACGTTAGATCTAAAATTCTGTTATAATAATCTCAAGGTTAAAGGGCACCTTCACAGGTAAAGAAATTCAGAACAGTGTCGTTGCATAGATTTTGGCATGCCTACCTGAGGATTTCAGGGAGCCTTTTTTTTAAATTAGTTTCAGCTGTACAACACAATGCAATAGTTATACTTTTTACCCCTCAAAGTGACAACCCCCCTCCCCCAACCCGC